TTGTGGGTGGCGAGATGTGTTTCAATCGCATTCATTAACATGTGGTAACATTTTCACGTAATTGTCATCACGGAAAAAACACAAAATTAAGAAAAGGTTGCAAATAGCTGAAATTATCATTTTATTACAACCTCCCCTTAAAGGTTTGAGGGGGTAGATTTTCTTTATCCAAATTAAAGGTCTAAGGATGGATTGCACGCTGTACAGACTGTAAAACCTGCTTTACGGCTACTCTCCAAAAGCCAAACAAAATCTTCTGTATATGAGTCTTGTCGGACATGTAGTGCATTCGAAGATACACCTCAAAATGATTCAGACACACATAGCTGAACCAGAGAGGCAAGCATGTGTGAGATATGAGGAGAGCAAAAGAGTCAGAAAGGACAGAGTGAGGTTGAGATGTGTGTTAAATGGCAGCGAGGCAAAACAGCGAAGAGTAAAATAGCCTTTAATTCATCCAGATTGGGATGTCAGACCTGATGCCCTGCTGTTACACACACACTGTCAGCACATTCCTCCAGCTGGCTACACACACACACACACACACACACACACACACACACACACACACACACACACACACACACACACCTGCATACTCCAAACTGTACAAACACATGACAACATACAAGCCCACATGAGGCTAGGAAGAAAATGAGTGTGCGCATATTTAATGTATATCACAAAGAAAATATGTCTGTGCGCATGTTTTACGAGCGGGTGCATATGTGTGAAGGTCACTGCAGATGATTTATCAGTGGGAAAGAAGCATGTTGAAGTCCTGCAGGGCAGACGTGTGTGTCTGTGTGCAGGTCTCTTTGTGTATTTTCTGTCTCTGGATTAGTGTGTATTGGCACGTGCACTCATGCATGTATATTTACATGTTATTACTGTGTCTTTACAAGACTGTGGATGTTCCATAAGGTTTTATGTGCATATACAAATGTTGATTCTTTCTTACTATATCAAGCTATATACTATAGTGTGCTCTTGGACGTGCGCACACGCACACGCACACACACACACACACACACACACACACGAATGAAGAATATACATCAGGGACTGAAGGTTAGCATAGTGTTGGAGTAAAGAAGACATATACAACCAGCTGGTGAAAACTATGGCACAAAGATAGATAGACGCTCATACAACTACATTACAGTGTGTGTGAATGTGTGTGTGTGTGTGTGTGTGTGTGTGTGTGTGTGTGTGTGTGTGTGTGTGTGTGTGTGTGTGTGTAGCAATAAGAGGTGGAAAGGGAGGAAACAAGAGAAGGCGAGAAAGCGAGACAGAATGTCATATTCCAGCTGTAGTTGGTATATATTTCTCCGTGGGAGTGAGTGTGTGTGCATGTGTGTTAATATATTCTATGTCTGTCCCAGAAACCTCTGCAACATGCCGTATCATATATCATGTCTTACAGTAACATTAAACCTTACACCGATGTAAAACAGGGCAACAAATCAGACATCAAACCACGAAGAGTTACGGGAGCCTGTGCGTGCAGAGACAGTTTCATGTGAATTACACCAAGATATATGGACACACAGGACGCAGCCACCTTAAACATCTCATGTTTTACATGTGGGAGAAAGCCAGATACTAATGACGTATTTGCTGACCAGACCCTAATGTCTAGTGAAAAATATGAGCAATAGCGTAATGTACATTACTCACAGCAAGACAACTAGCAGCTACCAGAAACATCTAAACTTTCCACTGTGGCGGAACAGACACAAAAATACATAATATCCCAAAAATGTGGGAGGAATATCCAAGTGCAGCCTGAGAAATATCATGCATTATGCAAAGGCAAAGCAGGAAAGTGTTTCAGTAAGTTGTCAAATAATCATATATGAATGCAACAATTCTTCATAAGCCCCTGCAGGCGATTCGTGACAGCCTTTAAAGGAGGAATTTCCAGCAAGAATTTCCAGTGAGTTCTGTGTGAGAAAACGGGAGCTACTGTTGGTCAGAAAACAACCAGTGTACAGGTAGAAGCAGTCGACAAAGTAAGTGGAATGGAAGTGTTGGTACCCGACAAACAAACTGCTGGCCAATGTGAACCACTGTGCAAACAATAAATAAATAATATCTTTAAAAAAACAATCAATATTGGTGGGAAGAAATACTGTTGGAGCACAAAGAGGGAAAAGGTAGTAACAAACTCTTCTATGAGGCCTGCCTGCCAGAGTTTTTGTGTCTTAAACTGAAGAATAAATTGTGTGTATTTACTGTACCAACATGTGGTACAAACGTATTATTACAGCATTACCTGCACTAAAACCTTTATTTCTATATGCAATCATATACAAACATGATGCGGAAATCCACCCATATGATTAACCATACACTTCTTCATATGCCTGCTCTACTCTGGAGATTAGAGAAGAGAGAGTCAGGATAAATCTCCATTAGTTTGTAACTGTATCATCACTATACATGCACAGTCACATCTGTATACATGGCTCCAATTACACGTAGACTGTGCCAGTTAAACTCCTCCCCTCCACTGAGATTACGGAGAAATTGTGTCCTTAATCAGTCTCGGTGGCTGTCGTATTTCCAGTGCCTACTTAATGTTGAAAACACCAGTCTTTAGTTGGAGTTTGGCTGTTGTGCTTTCAAATTAATATACACTCTTTAACCTTTCCCTCCATTGTTGGGCAGTTGGTGGCTTTATATTTCATCATACCACTGTAATCATCTTTGAGATCAGCAGCAGCAACACCCCAAGTAAATATGATTTTTGGTATTTATATACCTCTGGAGTTTTTTCCCAATATAAAGAAAGCTGGCTCTGGAGATCAGCAGAGTAAATATCTGGTCTCTGCACAGTATGATCTGTGTATGGAAACACACATACACACCACAGTTCAGAGTCGGGACAAAGTGGTAACTGGAGCCTTATAGTAATGTTAACCGCAACAGATTTATACACATACATACATACGTGTGCATGTGCCATTAAGACAGTAAAGTGAAATGACAGCACAGATTGAAATACCCACTGGAGACTCTTAAATCGAACCGTGCATGTATGTAGGGTGGTCTTTGTGCATGTGTGTGTTTGTATGTTGTTATTGTGTGATCTGTGTTTGTATGTGCATGTACATGAAGTAAGGATGCATGTGTGTCTTTGTATGTTACACACATATCCATCATGGCGCCTGTATTTTCTTAAAAGGAACAAGTCAGACGTCAATAAATCTATCATAGCATGCTTGCACACGTGCACTCTCACACATGCAAATTCACATACGAAAACAAGGCCAGGCATTCTGAAGCGCTGATGCTTGTAATAATCGCACGGGTCGTTACTACGCCGATAAAATGGCTAATAACTTGCTCACCTGGCCTGTGAATGGACATGCTGCTGGACACACACACACACACACACACACACACACACACACACACACACACACACACACACACACACACACACACACACACACACACACACACACACTCTGTCTCGTTCTCAAAAACAAAAAATGCTAAGTTGGTAGAAAACGCAGCGGACAGAGTGCAGGAAAACCAAATCACAGCGCATGCCCTCATTTTCCCATAATGCCACAGTAAAAGATAGTCCCACAGCGTGCTTAAACAGGCAGGACATGCTAACACGGACATTATCCTTGGCTTCTATTTCAGCCCAAAGCGGCGTTCCACTAAATTAGACCTCGTTGTAAGGTCTCAGTGAGGATGTAAAACAGCAGAAAATACATGGAATCATCGGACTGCTGGACTCCTCTTAGCTGCACTTAAAATGCAAACCCATCTATTAAAATTACATTAAAATTTACACTGAGCTACAGCGTGTGCGTGAGTGTGTGCGGGTGTCTGTGTATGTAATCAATCACATGAAGAGCTAGACAGCGGTACATGGTTATTGCATTAACACACTACTTACTTCCATGGCTTTAAAGTGCAGAGAGAAAGAGAGAGGAGATAAAAGAAGAGAGGTAAAGACAGGAAGCGAGAGGAAAGAGAGAGCTGATGAAGTGTCGGGTGAAGATCAAGTCAATGTGACCAGTGACCAACTTCCTGGAACACTGGAGCAACATGGGAAACTACTGGAGATATCATAAGAGATGCTAATTTCAGGCAAAGTGTTGAAGGTCGTGCCTGCGTAAAAATTTGAGTAACTGACAACTGGTTGGAAACTCTATACTGTATGTGTTGACTTATTGTTCTCAAACAGCTGCACTTTATAATGTTTGCTAAAATATTTCATATTTTATTTTTAGCAATGATAGCAGCGTGGATCTATGGGTAGCAATGTCGGGTCTGTTGGTCAGCCACTTCGGGCCAGACTGAAATATCTCAACAAGTATTGGATGGGTTGCCATGGAACTTTATACAGACATTCATCATTCCCACAGGATGAATCCTACTGACTGGTGATCCCCTGACTTTTCCTCTTCCGCCACTAAAGGTTGACATTTTTATGAATTAGTGAAATATCTCAGCAAATATTGGATGTCTTCATTCATGTTCCCCCCAGGATGAATTTTAATAACTTCCTCTAGCACCTTTATCAGGCCAAATCAAACACTTTAGTTTACGACCAGTACCTGCTAAACTAATGAAATTCCCATCAGCCTCAACTGTACTGTGTGTTTGGTGCTAATTACCAAACGTTACCATGCTGAATTAAGATCACGACCATGGTTAACACTAAGCATGCAGCACAAAGCATTTATTAGTGGGCTGATGTTGGCACTTTGTTTAAAACACTATTGTAACATTGCAGCCTTACAGTTATTTTCATATGATTGCATATGAGTGTTTGTACATCTGCATAAAAGGATAGAAACTGGAGAGATAAATAGGTAGAGAAAGACATTCTTTACAGTGTGTTTGTCAGTGATAGTGTCTTTGAAAAACATGACAAATGACAACAGAGTTTGCACTCATCGATGTTGATGTTCAGCTGGTTTACATGTTAAGATAAATAAAAGCATAAAATGTGTGTGTTTTTGTATTCTTACTTCATCTCCAGGACCTCCTCCAGGTGCTTCCGCCTCTCAGCCCGCAGGGCGGTGAGGTGACCTTCCTTCTCGGCCAGTGAGAGTTGAGTTGATGACAGCTTGGCTTTCATCACCTCCAGTTCCTGTTTCACCTTCTCCATGGCAACCAGCAGGTCCTCCACCTGGTGCGCGTACACACACACACACACACACACACACACACACACACACACACACACACACACACACACACACACACACACACACACACACAGATTTTAGGATATTTTAAATGACTTCTGCTTTTTCCAACTTCTCTGTCTCCATCTGATATTTTTCTTAAATGATTTCCTTCAACTTTTTTATTTGCTTTTGCTCTCCACAGATATTGCCCTTTATGTTTATGTCTTCTCTCCCCCCCCCTCTGCCTGTGCATCTAACAGCTACTGTGCTTTTGAAATGTGACATAATAATTTCTCTGTCTTTACATAAGATGCTCGACTGTAGAACATCAAATGTGTCATTTTTCTCCTCCGTGTTTCCTTTTTTTCTCTTCCTGTTGTTTTTCTTTCACTTCTCTGACATCTATGTCTCTCCCTGGGTGTATATCAGTTTCATATCTGTGAGGTCGAAGTGACGAGGTCTCTGTATTTCTCATGGTGTGAAAACAATCTGTTCTGCCGACACACATTTAGACCTTTGAGCAGATGTAACCATACAAATACAGCAACACACACACACACACACACACACACGCACACACACACACACACACACACACACACACACACACACACACACACACACACACACACACACACACACACACAAACACACACACACACAGTTTCTGGGCAACCCACCACCTTGATCTTCAGGTTGTTCCATTTTATACCTTCTGGCTTTACTCCACCACTTTTAGCATCTAGTGAGCCTCGCCATGGGCCTCTTTCTTTGTTACAATCTCAACAAATATTGTTTAGTATTTCCAGTTGGATTTTCACTCCTTTCAGAAAAAAAACCCCACAGGGCTAATGAGTGATGGAAAAAAGATGGAAAATGAGAACGAGAAAAGAATGGAGACATGCTGGGTACAGGATGTTTGCTATAACGTCAGCACAAATGAATGAATGAACATGTGAGCACAAATCAAGGTCTGATTCAGATGAAGAAACTGGTGTACCAGTTTAGAGTGATGGCAGTTTAGTCAAGTACTGTATAGTTTTGAGGTATTTGTACCTTTATACTTCTACTCCACCACATGTATCTGATTATTGGAGTTACTTAACATTTTGCTTAGTACTAACAACTCAAAAATTCGGATCTTACCAAGTAATTGGAAGTCAACTAGTTTTATGTATTTTATAGAATAAGGTGCCATTTTTGTTGATTCTAAATTAGTGATCCCTTATTTTGTCTTCTCTCTCTAAGAAGAAGAAACTTTTACAACTCAATAACTAATTAATAATTTAAAATACTTCAAATTAGCTCCACCTTGATCAGCTGACATGTTAATGCATAGGTGATAAATATTCAATAATATGTAATGTGTATATATAACATATATATATATATATATATAAATATGTATGTTCCGCATAATGACTACTTTTCAATTTTGATACTTCAACTACATTTTGCTGACAATACTTCTGTACTATTATTTAGTAAACCCTTAAATGCATGCATGTATCTTCACACTGTGGTAATTTGACTTTTTCTTGAAAGTGAGTTCTTCTTCCACCACTGCCAGTTTACTAGCCCAATATGTAAAACATAGCAGGGGCAGTAAATGAGGATTTGTGTTTACTATAACTTCCCTTCCTTCACTAAAATAAAAAATGTGAATGGAATGAAAATAAAGTTGAAGACATGAATGAATGATGAAATGTGCAGTAAAAGGCTGGTGAGTGAGGTTTGTGGTTGTTGTTTGTTACCTTTGACCACCTAAAGCCAGCTGTGGTGAGCTCATGCATTGGAATGTGAGAGAGCTGCATACAAAAAGAGCAGAGAGAGAGAGAAATAGAAGATAGATAGAAGACAGAAAACATAGGTAAGGGAAGGAGATAGTGACAGTGAGGAAGGACAAAAAGCGACACAAAATGAGGGCAAGAGAGAAAATGAGAGAAATAAAAGAGAGGGTCGGAAAGAGTGCAGAAGAGGGGGGAAGCAAAGGTGGACATGGGAAGGGAAAGACGGAGAAATCAAAAGAGTGTAAGGACGAACAATAGGGTACAAACAAAATGTTATTAGGAGGAGAAAAGAGAAGGGGAGATAAGATTAAAAAGAACAAATAGGCAGGGAGGAAAAGCAGAGATAAGGAGAGGAGAAAGAGAAAAGTTGTAAAAATGCTCAAGTGAAAAGATAAACTGTACAACAGAGAGAGAAAGCAAATGCTAAACATATGAAAGAGAGCGATAACTGGATAAAAGAAAGTGCAGACAGAGTGCAAAATACTGAGCAGTCAGAAACACAGGCAGCGTTTAATATGCAATTCAGACAAGACAGCAAGGAGAGCGGAGGAGAGGAGAGGAGAGGAGAGGAGTAACATATCGAACAGATCAGAGTAAAATAAGGATTGAGAGGAGTAAAGGAAGGGAGGACGGGAAAGGAGAGAGAAGGATAGAAAAGGAAAGGAGAGCAGTGGAGAGATGAGAGGAGTAAAGCAGGGGACAGATTACTGTAAAACAAGGACAGAGAAATTAAGACACAGTGGGAAAGGAAAGAGAGAAAGACCTTTGGCCGACATCAGAGATGTAGAGATTGAAGGATGGAGGGATGCAGGGAGGGGTGAGGAGTGACGGGGCCCGGCTGGAAAAGAAGGAGCTGGAGGAGAAGGAGGACAGCAACCCCTTCAGTCTTCTGAATGTGTGTGTGTGTGTGTGTGTGTGTGTGTGTGGTGTGTGTGTGTGTGTGTGTATGTATGTATGTGTGTTTGTGTGTGCAACAACTTTATGGAAGAAACGGACGGAAGAAAGAAGGAGGTGCACTGAGTTCAAGAATTAAAATTGTCTGGTTAATAAAAGACGGAAAGCTGGAGAAGAGAATGTCTGTCTTTAGTTTGGTTTCTGAAGAGACAGAGAGAGTGTGTCATACTGTTGACTAATTTCTCTATGCGCACACACACACACACACACACACACACACACACACCTTTTCAGAGATCACACATACAGTAGTGACTCACGTCTAGCAGAAAAGGTTTAGTATATTTTCATGTGGTCTTGGTCAACTATCCATAGGACAACCTCTCTCTCTTACACACACACATACACACACGAGTTGTCAATATACGGATTCATGCTAGAGGTGTGTGTGTTCTACTAATAAGTAGTCAGGATGTGTGTGTGTGTGTGTGTGTGTGTGTGTGTGTGTAAATTGCCTGGTTTGGCTGCATTTGCGTGTGTGTGTGTGTGTGTGTGTGTGTGTGTGTGCCAACGCTATAATAAGCTATGTCTGCGCCTTTGAACAGGCCGTCCTCATTAAGGGAGGAAATTGTCTCTCCCTCTGTCATCATTTTTATAAATCATTATGTGAAAGGTTAATTGCAGTGACGCAGTTGTAAAACGGGAACACAAAAATATTTATTTACAATTTACTCGTGTATATAGAGACACGTTTCCAGTTAGAAAACCAAAGTCGCGTCCATCTGGCTCCAGCTGAATGCAATGTTGTGCTGTCGGTGCACTGTTTAAATAGCAGTTAGCACTTCTTTCCGCCATGTTTGTGTGTCTGTGTGTGTTGGGAGGAATATGTGTATGTATGTTGTGTACTACCATGCTGTCTGTGAGGACAGCGTGCACACATGTGCGTGTGTGTCTGTGCTGAAAGGCTGAGTTAGTGTTGTTGATGTTGGGTGAGGACTGCATTGAGTGTTTGGCTGCCATCTCCACTCGTTCACCACACGCTGACGTTTTCTACTCCTTCCTCCTTCACTGAAGCATTTGAACACGAGGACGCTCTCCAGCACCCTGTCCTGGTCTAAATGGTCTCAGTTCTGTCTAATTAAAGATGTCACTTGTAGAATTTTGAAGCATTTCAATATATCGCTACCAAATTAAATGTGATAGTTTGGCACAATTTCTGTAAACAAATTAAACCAGAGTCAACTTCAGGAGGATAAACATGTTGGATGGGAATTTTTCCATCTTTCCTCTACTTGTTCCAATCTTTGCTATTGTGAAAACCCAAAGCCTTAGGCCTGTTTGCTCTGGTAGAGGACCCAAATGTACTCTGCAACTATGTCTTTATGACAGTTACTACTGTATCAGGAACTAAACTCAGGAACTAAACTAGGAATTAAGTCCCTTTGGTGTATTTGTGTTTGCATTCCCAGCAGATCTGAAGAACCATGAGGATTAAGCAAATTAGTCTGATAATGGATTTGAAAATGATGGCAGCGTTTGTGACTCACTGTTTACACAGACTCATCGTGTTGTTCTTTGCAGATACTGTGAATGTAATGAAATGATGCAAAGTAGACCTGCAGAGGTGGAAAAGGAGACCGTAAACCCATAATGCTTGTCTCCAATGCAGCGTTTTCCATGGTCATTTATTTCTCCTTTAGTAGGCTACATGAAACAAATAGCAAATAAAGTTTTGCTTATCTTGTTCTCTTTTTGTTTGTTTGTTCACACAGTCTTGCTCATTCTGAGTACTCCAGAAGCCGAATTACATAAGTTTGAAACTAGTTGCAACCGGGCATTCGTGTTACCTATATGAGTTAAGCTGTAGACAAATTGTAGCAGCCATAAGGTTTGTGTGTGATGTCAGCTCTATAAAGTCTGCCCCGAAAGTTCCTGGGTCATCAGAAAGCACTACCCCCTGAGCAGGGACTATTTAGGCCAAGGAACTAAATTTAGACACTTGCTCCTCCAGTCTAAATGCAGGTTAGGTTCCTGGGTTCCTGAAATGGTTCCTGTGCTGCCAGTGGAAACTGGCCATATGAGACTGTCCTCCCAAGAAAAATTAGAGAATTTCAGCAAATGTCCTTCAGTAATGGAGGAAGTCTAGAGCTACAAATTCCGCAAAGGAAAAGGTCAGGCTGGATGGATATGTTAACAAAACCTTGGGAGAGCTAATTTCCTGATTTTTCTTTAAACCATGACAGCAGTTGTTTTCCAACCTTAACCACATTGTTATTACTATTATTATAGGTCCCCTTAACAAATTACTTATTTTAACCCAAACCATGATCTCTCTCCAAGTCATTTTTGTGTCTAAAGCTAACCAAACCTAAGTTTTTTCACATCATAAAACTTTCTTTTTTCCCCAACAGTGATACTGTATAAATTACACTTTTTACACATTTAATATGAAGACTTTGTAGAGCTATGTGCAATGTGCAAAAAATGTGAGACTATGGTTTACAGATGAAGTGAAAATGCTCCACAAGGCATCTCTAGTGATAGTGTTTAGTGAAGTGTTACATATTCTATGTACACATATTCTGTATGTGCTTGTCAAATATCCACATCCCGAACACTATTTCTTTTGGGTTGCATCATTACATGGAAGGGAAAAGCCAAGCTTTCGTGTGCATCATTTTAAACATGTTTTCCTGTAGTACTTAGCATCTTTGAAACTTCAGGATCTTGACTATGCTGAAATAAAGTTCTGTGAGTTTGAACGGTACATGAGCTGAAGAAGATAAATGTATTTTGTAAGTCTTGTTATATCTTCACTAAGAGAGCGTTTGCCTCTGTCCGTCCATCCTTTTCTTTCATCCATCTGCTTGTCTTTGCTAGCAGTCTGTCTTTCTTCTATTACATCTGTCTATCTGGAATCTATTCTGCTGTGGCACCCATTAACATTAACCATGGATGAGGGTGTCAGCAGGAAAACGTGTGTTTGCATGCCTGTCTTTATGTGTCTGTCCAGAAGCAGCCTGGTAAGTAAAGGCCAGAGAGGACGGCCAACATTTAGAGGCAGTAATAACAATGGAGTCCAGCCGTTTTGCCAACAGCTACAGCGGGCCATGTTTTCTCAGGGCAGTTTTCATCCTTGCAGCCCACGCTGTTTTTTCCCACTTGTCAAAACCCATCCAGGCTCTGAGGAACATTTCCCATCTCTATGGCCTCGTTAAGTCACTGGTACCCAGGGGACATGACACACACACTCCCACTAGTCTGAGGTTGACACCACTAAACCCTTCCCCTCTGAGCCTCCCTTAACACCGCTATGAGCTTTCCTGCTGTCTCAATATAGATAAAAGAGATTACAAATTGGAGCGGTTGCCTCGCGCTACATTTAAGAAAAAGCTGTTTGTGTGTTGCCGGCTGAAGCGGACAAAATACAAGCTGTTCTTTAAATAGGGATGTATTTACCTCTCCTCCAAATGAGGAGTAACTGGGCAAACACACACACAGAGCCACACCTGAATGAGCTCAGTTGGCACAGGGCATGTGTGTTGCTGCAGCCATTAGCCACTTTTGGCACAGCAATGTTTAGCCATGTCAGAAAGAGTTTTTATGTTGCTCTAAAGATGTTTGTCTGTGTGTGTTTCCTTGTGCGTCTTTCCAAATGTCCCACAAAGACCGAAAAAATGAAGGAAATCCTCAGAGGTGAAGACATTTGTGTAAATAAATAACTGATAGGGGTTGAGTGTAAGGAAAGGTTCGGATAACACATTTTCTGGTTGGGGGTTAGGGTTGCAGTAACACACTTTTGCTAATATGAGAGACAGTACCTGTTTCTCGGAGTGTGTGCGTGCCTGCTCCTCCTGGGCGAGCACCACCTCCCTCTCCGCTGTGATCTGAACGCTTTCCCTCAGCGCCTCCTCCAGCTCCTCAATGCGCTCCTCCTTCTCACGGAGGGTGTCCTACAGAGAGAGTATGCAATGTAAATAGAGTGCAAACTGTTGCAGTGCTGAGACGATCCGTTGATTAATCAAGCATTTATTAAGGAACAACACTAAGAGTCTACAGACATGCTGGCAGCTCTGTGAGGCTAAATGCTAATGTTCATGACATGCTCTCAGTAACAATGTTAACACGCTTATGTTTGGCATGGTCACCATCAAGTATCATTTGTTAATTAGCACTTAACAAGTTAATACAATTCAAGGGAACATGAAAGTCCAAATTCTGTGCCCATCTATTTAAAAGTTGTGGAGACAAATTTACCCAAAACCACAAATGCTTCATAGTGGCTCAAGAGGAAAAGTCAGGGGATCACCAAAGTCAGTAAGCTTCATCCTGTGGTGACCATGAGTGTCTGTACCAAATGTACCAACTATTTCCAATAGGTCTGGAAGAAAATGTGGCTACTGTGGCTAAAATACCAGACATCTGATGGTTCCAGCATCTCAAATTTCAGGATTTGTTTGCTTTTTATCATCACAAGTTGATTATTTTGGGGCTGTTAGTTAGATAAAACAAGCTATTTAGGTCTGGCACCATTAGACCAGACATAATGCAGCCCCAGATACTAATATATTGTCAAGAAATGGTGTAAGAGCCTCAAAAAATATATATTTCAGAGGGGCGTTTAATTTATGTGTACACTAGCCAGAAAATCAATTGTCGTACAACACTTTCCTTGATCCGACATCCTTCTTATGTGACTGTGTATTACTAAATCACACCAGTTTCCCGTAACAGCAACTTTTCGTGTCACATCCTGCTTAACATGTCCCTACAGTGAAAACCTTGGCCGTTCGCTGCTCCCAGCAACTGGAATAAGCTGCCAAAGACTCGTGAATTAGACAATCTGATCTCCATCTGCCTCTGAGGACTCTCAGGAACTCCCAATCGCACATGAAACTGTTTTCTAAGTAAAATCACAACATGAACTTCCCCCCTGAATTCCCCATAAAGAGCCATTTGTCCTCTTGCCAGGCAACCGACTTTCCTGGTTAAATTAGAGCTGAATGAATAACTGATGGAGACAGTGTGGGAGGGAGAGGATGAGACATTACAGTGGCCATGAACAAACCTCCAGGACATCTCCAACACATGTGCTGTAAATATGAATCCAGTTCCACATCCAACATTACTTGGTGTCTAACTATGCAGACTGAGATGGACTTTAATTGAATTAAATCCTCTTATTGTATTGAATTAAATTTACGATCTGAATTATACTTACATTCCATTTGCAGTCTTCAGCGCTGGTTAAACTATGCAGAATGGCTTACAACTGACACACACACTAGTTATGGTTGTAACCACTGCGGTCTCACAAGTCTGAGTGACTCACATAGCTATCAGCTCATCTCCTAACCACACTCATACACATAAATGACAACTTCCAAACTCCTTAAACCAAAGATCAATCATAGCTAGAGGGAGCATACGCTTATTTGCACAAACAGACAGACAGACAGACACACAAACACACACACACACACGCACCCACACACACACACACACACAGAGGAGTGTTTTCATCTGCCTCTAATCAGAGAGACCTCTGAGGTTAACGATTACTGGAAGAGGAAAAGGGAGGAGGATGGACGAGGAAATAAAGGAAAGAAGGAGAAGAAGTCAGGGAAAGTTGAAGGGAAATTAGGGTTGAAAAGGAAATTAAAAGGTAGAGATGAAGAGGTGAAAGAAAACGAGAAATCTGAGGAAAACCAACCCACAAGTGGCTGTTCATCTTGTGGTCACTTGACACCCCAGCAGACAGTTAGGAGATGCTCTCACACCACAGGAAGCACTTTAAAAACCCCACAGCATTCACTACATAGTTTAGTGTGTGGATCCCTCGAGTCTCGTCTAATCACCTCTCCTCCTCACCTCCTTTCTCCCCTTCACTTCTCTGACCATTTTCCTCCTCTCCATCTTCCATCTGCCCTCCCTGTCAATCACCCTCTTCAGTTACCCCGTCTCACACAGTCCCCAAGCGAGAGCTGCATCGTGTGTGTGTGTGTGTGTGTGTGTGTGTGTGTGTGTGTGTGTGTGTGTGTGTGTGTGTGTGTGTGTGTGTGTGACAGCGAGTGTGTTTGACATTGCCTCAGGCTGCTCCCTGTCACAATTGTCACGTTATGATGAAGCATTGTTGTGATAGCAGACAGTATTCAAGGTAGGACATAGAGAAGGAGAAAAACTTTTTCTGTCTCACCCCCACCCTCCTTTAACTCCCTCCTCTCCCTCCTCCTCTTCCTCCCTACATACCTTTATCTGCTGGGAGCTTTCGTTCAGGTTGTCCTCTCGCTTCTTGGCGTCCTCCATCAGCTGGGCGTTCCTGCTCTTCTCCAGCTGCTCCATATGTTTCAGGTTGGCCACCTTCTTCGTCTGGTCCTTCATCTGCCTGCACACACACACACACACACACACACAACATCAAAGTCAGTGCATCACCTACAAACAGTATCTCTAAAGACTCACTAGAGACAATCTCACTCTCAGTAATTCTGTGTTTCAATACAGAGCTTACCTCTGAACAGGTGACATTCAAACAGGTGTCAAGAGAACAAATAAAGTTTTCTCTTATTATTTAAAAGGGATTATTTCCCTATTTTTGTGACAAATTAGATCTAGTATGTCTATAAAACACACTGGTAATTGTTTTTTTCAGTCTTTGGGTTACACTGCTCCTCTCCAGCCCTGATTGAAGAAGTCTGTTTGGAGTTCACAAAGTTAAGCATTGTGATATTCATGGAGACGGTGTTAGTAGTAGTTATATGGCTCTGGTCATGGCAGCGGTCAGGATAATTGCACACTGAGCTACAATGATTTTACTGCATCACTAGCATTTGGACCACATACATTTAATATTAGAAAGATGGCTGAAAAACTATACTACAGCATTCGTGTTTACATACATTATGAAAACAAGAAACACAACATGACGTCTAAACCTCTAAGTGTATGTCTCTAAAATGTTCAGCCGTCTCAATGCCCAACATAAAAACAGTCCTCTTACAGTAAGAGCTTCGAGGAAATGGACAAATGGGCCTCTATTCATTTAGCCACTTAGATTTTTCCCCCAAAAAATACACAAACGTGTGGTGGCCTCTCTAGGATGCTGACTATATAAGTTCAACATTCCCAGTTCAAATCCGGCCAGGGACCTTTGCTGCATGTCATTCCTCCTCTGTTTCTTATTCTGCTCAAATAAAGGCCGAAAAACCACAACAACCAAACTGAATGGACCTGCACTCGCAATTGTGGTAGGTCGCACAACTGCAAATGATATTTCAGATACAGAGTCGAACCATCTCTCACCAAATGTTATTGCCATTAAGATGATACTGCAAGACAATCTGATTAGCTATTCTGTGCAACATAATGCTGTAATGAAATCCCTTAGGGCCAATATAACGTAAAGATCGGTAAAGGAATTCAATAAAAACGACTGGATGACATTTGAGATTTCTACATAGTGGGGAGGTCTTTTCACGGAGGGATTACTGGGTGTCGGGAAGCAGAGTCTAAATAATAAGCAGGGGAATGAAGGAGAGAGAGAAAGAGAGAGAGCGAGAGTAAAAGAGGGAGAAACAGAGATTCCTCATAGGAGCTGGAGAAAGGGTTTAATCCCTGTTTAAGCTGTCTGGAAGCCACTGTGGCTCTGTCACAGACCTATCAGCTATCACACCAGCTTGACTTGATCAGGCCCTTTCATACCTTTCATACACACACACACACACACACACACACACACACACACACACACACACACACACACACACACACACACACAGATGTGGATTAACCCAAGCTAATGCCAGTAACGTCCAGTGAATCATGACACAGATGAAAGATAAGTCAAACACAGAGGATAAATGTGTAAGCATGCACGTGCAGGCGGATAGCCAACAAAGACACTGGTAAGACAAAACTGCTGACTAATGTGTTATCAGACTCAATAAAAGTCATTCTTCTCGCTCTGTGTAAGTCTGCAAGTCTTTTGTATGTTTGCATTTTTTAAAAATATGTGTACAATCTGTCTGCCTGCGCCGTGCAAATGTTTATTCATGTGTGCGCATTCCTGTTAGCATAACTTTTTACAGGCTCGTACAGTAGATAAATCCACTTTCTTTGCTTCCACCGGTGCAGCTGCCAGTAAAAGAACTGACCTGCAGTGATGGGAAATCTGCAGCAAACTCTGTCTCACACCTGTAGCAAAGCATGTGCACTCATGGGAAATCCTCTTTAAGAGCCGTACACTGCATATTTTGTTTTTGTAAACAGGTTCCAATCATCACATGACCTTTGAACTTTGTCTGTGCACCACAAAGCTCTGAGCATAAATCCACGCATTTGCAATGCTACAATCTCACAGTGTGCTGTTTCACTTGTTTCATTTTCACTGCTTTACTCCTTCGAGTGCAATCTTCTGTCTGAATTCGTAAGGGTCCAAAGTTTATTTGTTTACATCTAGAGTGATATACATATTCTAATGTCTAAATATTTCATAACACCTCCTCTCTTTCATCTTTCCTGTCCATCTAGGCCATAAACTACCTGCTAAACTAACCTAAAGTAATGGGAGTAATCCATCAAATGGCTTTTACATCAGTATCACTGCCAGAAAAGTTGAGAAATGATATTGGCAGAGGATGGTAACATAAAATCCTCTATGTGTTTGCTAAAAGGTCCAGGGGGCCCAATTCCAAACCGTCCAGAGAAATTTGGGAAGCTGGAAGAAAACTTGAAATGCGACGACGGGGGCCAGAACTTCTCTGCAGCACATGGCCGTTCAAAGCTCACCGAACAATAATGAGTGTGTTAAGCCGCATGTGCACACGTGTGGTTTTGACTTATTATTTGACGTATTGTTTTTGTGTGCATTTTAAAGACCTACACGTAGCATAATTATCACATCCAAATTGGGTTCAAATGTTAAACAGGAAAGCAGATGAAGTAAGCGTGGAGTCAAATGCATAATGGTGTTTTTTTTTTTGTTTCCTTTGTTCCGTCCTGATTTCAGTTTGCACCCCAAATGTGGGATAATTTGAATATTTGGGATCAATTTTGTGCTCTACGCCCTGTGTGAGTGTGTAACAGGTCATAAACAGGCAGGAATGTTCCTATTGGAGGATTTCCAGGAAGCTCCAACCATCTGGTTAGCTCTCTGAGGTTTCCCCCCTTCATGCTACATTTACTGTACGTATGCGAGTGCATGTGGAATAGACTTTTAGTTTGCAATGTTTCCTATTGACTCAACACTCAGTTCCCACTTATACTCCCTCTCTTTCCTCTTCTGCTAATGCTAAACACTTGTTTTGTTCAAACCTCACATGTTTGCCTGTATCACTTCTTGCACGTCATACCATTTGCATAGGTAACCATCATGCATTTGCATCCGACCACAGCGAGTTCCTCCTCCCCCTCCTCTCTCCTCTCATTGGAATTTTCTTGCTCACCAAAACCAACACTTTCCCTCCAGTTATTTCCCCTCCCTTCTTTTTTTTGCATGTTTTCTTGTAATTATTTGAATAAAAAGCAATCATTTATTTGCATCATACCAATGCACGAGGACAAATTTACTTCACCTCGCCATTCCCCGTTCCTTTTTGTCTCCATACTCAACCACCTCTCCAAATGCAACATTACCCTTTCCTTTGGATGAAATATTCTCAGCAGACCATGGACAATTTCTTCTCTCCTTCCCTCTCCCCGGTTCCTTCCACTCCCTCTTTTGTCACTTCCATCTCCTGTGCTTTACTTTCCCTTTGTCTCACAAACTTTTTGGTTAGCCGAATGTGTTTTTCATCTTCTCTCTCTCTCTCTCTCTCTCCCTCCCTCCATCATCTGCATATGAATCTAATTTATCATGACCATAATCATATGTGTTAATCAGGTGTGTTTTTAATGAGATGCTAATGAAAATGAAATGTATTAAAACATTCTTATTGTGCACTATGACATTATTACTCATCAGTATAATTTCATCTTTTGTCATTATATGCCAGTTACAGCTCTTCTGAAAACATCTTAAAATTTCCCATTGATGTTTCTGTTAGTTACATTCAAGTTTGAGTTTTTCCATGTGAGTATCACATATCAATGTCTTATCAAAGCTAGATGGCACTTATATTAAAAGACCTATTCAAACCAAAGATGCTAGGTTTATTGTGTATAATTACATCAAATAGGACATATTCTACATGTCATATTTCCTCATCTTGATCTCCTACTACCTGGATGTCTTTAAAAACATTTGGATGTAGACTTTAATTTGAAACAAAGGCTGATCATGACCTCTGACCTCTCTATATGAGGCCCCACAATCAATTTTATATTATTATACAACTGAGATGTTATGACATAGGTTTCCCTCTCTATCCTGACTAACAAACTATTTGCTACATGAATACAGTTTCTCAAAAGTTGCAGTTGCAAATCTGCAAATGTTTAATTAAACACTTTCATTACACTCGTTGCTTTAAGGAGCAGAAGCTGCTCGGTGAACTCGATGGCTCGGCTCAGAGCAGGCAAAGGGCCATTTGAAGCTGTTTTAATATGTAAAATACTTCCTTCACTCTCCCTCTGAAATCCCTTTCAACAACTGCTGCAAAACCGCTGGAGGAGGCGGAATCACAGGAGAGTTGACTTTACCCACAACGCTGTAAACACTACATACAAATGTGAAACCACGTCTGCACACACACACATACTCACCCTAACACACGATCATACACTCATTGACACACGGTGTGAGTTCACATGAAGGCACAAATTTACCAAAACCACTCTGATAATGGGGGACACGCACACACGCACATGGTCGGTGCTGTCAACTTTTCCAAACACAACCTGCTTTGTATTAGAGTCCCTCAGTCAGACCACACACACATATTTAAAGCACACATACACACATAGTTCTGCATGCAACTGCATGTAACACAACAACATGAGTCCATTTTCAGACATTTGCACAGAAATACACACACACGCAAACATGGCGGCACATGCAGTAAACATATGCTAACGTAAACACACACTAATACACTCGCTGACAGCACTTTGAACTTCCTAAATTTTGCCAAACCTCTCACACACACACACACACACACACACACACACACACACACACACACACACACACACACACACACACACACACACACTCATACATACAAACATCTATACAAACATAGAATAGCCTTCATTAATACTTGAAGTTGTTAAAAGCTAGTGAGTATTGCTGACAACTAGCTGTAAAATGAAAACACACACACACACACATACACACAATCTCATAAACTTCACTAAACCTCAAAGTCTCCAAACTAAAATGTTTAACCTCCCTCATTAGCATGCTGCTGATATTCAGGGAGCCACATTAAGGTAATATTAATATTGCATTTGGAGTCCTGTATAAATATTTGATCAGAAATGCTCGGGGGCCTCATGTATGTTTACTGCACATAGTTCACCCAACATTAACATCAAGGATTTCCTTTTAACCATTTGGAATTCAGTATTTCCTTTGAAAATACAGGAAATATTGGTTTGGTTTACTGAGCCCATAAAAACTATAAAACATTAAAAAGAAAGAAAAAGTGATCAAAAACATAATAGTTTAGTTTTGCAAACTGGCGGCGCGGAAGAAAAACTTACAGTACAAGGAGGACATTTTGGAGGAATAAGAAAGAAAGAAATGTTGTTTGTAGAATGAATGTAGGAAATCCCTCAAGCAGAAAAGCAAATTCGTGAGGTAAATAAGGAGGGAAGGCAGCCCAGACCCTTGTGTATGTGTGCAAACTTCCACAGTCTGGGTTACTGGAAACTAGCTCTTATTTTTGTATACAACAACAGACAGAATGAAATGTCTTTTGTCATAGCATCTGTCCATATGAAAATAAACCACATTTACGGCATATATCCCCCATTTCAGAAGTAACCAACTAAAGGGGAAATGTTTAGATAGTAGTAACAGAGTAAGCATGTGACAGAGAGTTGGAGTTGATCTTGGCAGTGTCTTTGTTTAACATGGAGAACAACAAAGTCTCAGAATTAAACGCTGCTCTTCAGACTCATATTATTTTTTTGGTTTTGAACTCTGGATTAGTCAAAGGCACAAAAAGATTATTATGTCTCAGTACTTTTAGCTGATCACTGAAATACAAGGGTTCTAGATATTTAACAGATCAAAACACATACTTGGCATTGTCGTATCAACTTTAAACTTGTTCTGAATTGCTAATAAACACTTTTTGATGGCTGCAGTGATTATTTTCATTATAATTAATCGGTTCATTATTTTATCGATGAATTGTTTGGTCTAACGTCAGACGTTAATAACAGTGCTCACTATAATAAAAAACTATAATAGCGTTTTAGTTGTATTTATTCAATCATTTGTTTTATTTGACCAAATGTCCAGAACCAAAATATATTCACTTCACTATCATGTATGGCAAGAAAAGCATCACATCCTCACAACTGAGAAGCGGGAACCAGGGAATTGGTTTGGCCTCTTTGCTTGGAAAATTACTAAAATGATTAATCAAATCTCAAAATGGCTGCCTTCTCATTTTCTGACGATCAATTAATTGACTACTCTTTACAGAACTCGTGTTGACGCAGCACTACAGTACGACACCCACATTTGGACTTCTGTTTTATGACAGAATGTTCCCTACAAACTGACCCTGAACATAACTCATGTCATAATGTAGGAAAAAATACTGTACATTTATTTGTTTGAAGATTAATCTTTGGCAAATTTTAATTTTTAACATTTTGTGCATACATTTTTTCCTTATTTGTAATAATTATACTCCATGGTCAATTATGTATCTTATTGCCTTTTAAAAAAACTGCAAAAGCAAAGTGTTACCAATTTAACTAAATATACATTTTTAATAAGCTCAAAAGAAAAATTATGTAAAGGAAAAGGTTGATTTTGCATTCTGTGTCTGTGGGATCAAAGAAATGAGGAAGTGAAGCAACAAAACACAAGCATTGATAGAATAAAACTACAAAGCAAAACATACTAAGGTAAGAAAGCATAATTAAAGAAAGCAGCCACTGTAAGCTGTACTGTAGAACTGTCTATTATTCTGAATACTCTAATACAAAACTGTACACAAAAAGCATGTTTTTCATTTTCCCTCGGTACTGGGAATAGTGTATGTGTATGCAGGTATTTTAATTAGATAACTCGCAGCAGTCATCTCTACTGTAGTGTTGTCACCTATTAGCTGGCAAAGCCCTTCTTACATGTGTGTTTGTGTGTTGAAGACAGAAAAAAAACAATGTGCATGGTGTGTGTGTGTGTGTGTGTGTGTGTGTGTGTGTGTGCTTGTTGTCACCCATTAGCTGACAAATCCCTGCACCACCTCAATGCTCAGAGTCATACGGGACCTCAAAGGGATCACACACACACACACACACACACACACACACACACACACACACACACACACACACACACACACACACACACACACACACACCTACACACACACAAACACACAGAAACAATGCAATTCCTTTTTATGCTACAGAAACCTTGATGTTAGACATTTGGCAGTGGATGAGGAGTTCCTCAGCTCAAGATCAAAACAACCAGAAAAAAAGACAAGACGGGGAAAAAAAAACACAAGAAAAGGACAGAAGAAGAAAAAGAAGTCTTCTGTCGTCTACCAGACAGCAATACAATGCTAACTTTTTCTTTTGTTTCTTTTCCCCCCTCTAGAGTTGAATCACAAAACACCAGAACAACAGCGATGAAAAAGCTGACAAGACAGCAGGGGGAACAGTGGCTCTGGAAGTTGAAAATGAAAGAAAGAGCATAGAAGGAGCTGGCACCGTGGGGACCTTTACGGCAGAGCAGAGCGTACAAAACACTCAGACCACCAGATTTATGCAGGAAACAGAAGGGATAAGTGGTTATTATGTGGTCGATCACAATGTGTAGGTCGGAGAAATTTCAATATGACTTTGATATGTCTGTTAGAAACGACCAAATTCAGACTTTGGGTTTTGCATGCTAAAATCTCATTACGAAGTCACCTCCTGAGTGCAGATAGGAATATTTAAAGGTAAAAAAAGGAGGAAAAGATGAAAGTTTTTTCATCTCTGGATATGGACGACGCTTTATGGTGCCACACTTAAAGGAATAGTTCAACATATTCACTCTCTTGACGAGGGTAAGGGGATATCTACAGCCGGCAGTCAGTTAGCTGAGCATAAAAAAATCTGCCTCGCAGTACTTATAAAGCTCACAAATTAACACCATATATCTTGTTTGTTTAATCCAAAATGTGAGTTTTTTAGGGGTGGTTATTTTCTGGACTATTTCTAGAGTCTCTGCTGATCTCCTGTCATCCTCATGGTTGCGACAACAGGACATAGCATGTCAATCAATGAGCTTTAGAGGTGCTGGTAGGTTCCTTTCTCATGTATTTGGACAGATTCTGTTTACAATCTTCATGCTAAGCTAAGCTCCTCGTTAGCAACATTTTCACCATACATATATGAGAATGGCTTCAATCTGTTCCTCTAACTCTCAGCAAGAAAGCAAATAAACACATTTTCTGAACTACTCTAGGTCGAACTATTCCTTTCAACCCACACCATAACTTAACTGTCCATTTGCTAAGTTCATGACCATTTTGGGACGTCACAGACCACAAAAGGTTGTGAAACCTTAGTTGAACATTTACAATAGTGTCTAAACTGTTTAACAAAAGTAGTGACAATAACAAAATGTGGAGCGATTTCTCTTTAAGAGCCACAAGGCCACAACGAAACCCAACAGAAGTCAGAAGAATTCTGAGCAAAAGTTCACTGCTGTCCAAGTAAATGATGGCGATGCTTGAAAAATCTTTCCTGTTTGCTGTGGTAGCCTGAAATTTGAACTTAGTGCTAGTATCGTGACAAGACTAGCAGGGTGCTATAATGGAGGGTGTAAGAAAGAAACAATAATGTTTCCTCTTCAAAGAGGCAGTGATGTGGCAGAGAAAGAGAGCAGTCTGAAAGTCAAGGTGTCTCCTTCAAAGACAGACAGACATGATGAGAATGATTAAAAACAGAGTTTATGACAGAGTGAAGGAGATGAGAGAGTGTCTCGATGCAAGGACAAGAAGTATGACAATGAAGGAGAGCACGATGAGAGAGAGAGAGAGAGAGAGAGAGAGAGAGAGAGAGAGAGAGAGGCAGTGAAGGAGGAAGAAAAATAGGCGTGCAGTACTAACCTTGAGGCAAGACTGGGTAGAGCGGGAGACAGCGTTGCATTGTAAAGATAAAAGAAAGGGAAAAAGAGACAGAGAAGGAGAGGGGAAGGTGAGAGGGAAGACAGGAGTTGAGTGCTAGGTTAGCCAGCTTGATCACTATTCAAAGAGGAAAGAGATGAGAGACAGAGGAACTGACAAAGAGACAGCTAGAGAGACATAATTAACCATAGAAACAGTGCGGGCAGACACATAAACAGGGAGACAGTAGCATGACCAAGCAAACACCTAGGCAGGCAGGCAGACAGTCACATAGACAGGTTAAATGCAGGCATCAGTATGGAGGGTTATGAGAGGTCTCCTCACCTCACACGGCCTCTACAAAACATTTCGGGACACACACACACACACACATACAGACAAAACTGCAATCACGAACCATAGAAAGCGAGCAATTAGCCAATCAAAGCATGAGCTGAGAGTGCGCTCACTATGAATTATTTCTTCTTCAATGGTTTTTGATACTGCAAACGACTTCTTTCGCTACCCGCTGGGGTCACTTGATAAGTACGTTTGTGGAGACTTCTCGGACAAAATGCATATGGCATGTAATCATTAATATATGAAATTCGAAGAAAATTCACTTCCTAAGTCGGTTGACCCCAAAAGTATTCCACACAATCACTCCTCGTATATTTGGTTGCACTGGCAGAGCCCAAAACTCCAGGGTGAGCTTATGCCTGTGAACGCACGTTAATGACGGCGTGCCAGAGACAAATTGTCCATTACAGAACAATATAACACGCAATAAACTTCTCTAATTTCCCATTACTCAAGTTTATGCTCTACATCTCTAAACGTCCTTTCTTTTTCTCTCCATTTCTTCCCTTTCCAGTCTTTTCTGTCAGTTTCGTTTCCCTCTCCTCACCATGTTGTCTGTTCTTCTTTTCTTTTCTCTCTCTGTCTCCACCCGTTATTTCACTTCTGCCTCGCTGTTTTTCTCCCTCTACCACCACACCTTCCTTTCCCCTTTCCTCTGTCTTTTCCCTCTCTGTGTTTTCCACTCTTCCATCCAAATCCTTTATTTTGGCCATCAGGGCAGATTTTCAGCTCCATTTCCCCTCAGTGTGAAGTCACTCAGTCTGCTCCAATTACCATCCTTGTTACTGAAATAAATAACCTGGTACCATTACAGCTGGATTTAAACTAGAGGGGAAAGAGGGAGGGTTGATTTTTACCCTTGTTTAACCCACATCTGATCTTTTCATTAGTAATGTTCCCGCTGCTCACTCTTAGCCCAGGGTTAGCCTTGCTGCCAAGCTAAGAGTTGGCCACAGGCGAATGTATCCTCCTCTGACGTACCTGTTAGCTCGAGGCTAAGTCTTGTAATTCACAGCAGGGTTAGGTAGCCCTGGGATAAAGCCGGTATTAATACTTTAGTACTTTATGTTACAGGGTCAGTGTGTTTCAGTTGTAGTAGTTGTTTTATACTGACATAAATGTATTATTATTAGTATTAGTGCCTATGGGTTAAAAAAATCGATGTTGCTAAAATAATAACTTTAAACACAGATTAATGTTAATCCATGGATTTCCAAACCACCATGCTTAATATTTACTAATAATTATTACAATTAGAAACGTCTGTAAAGTCCAGTTTCCCCGTTCCAACATAAGCTGCGTTCATTAGCATGTCCGGCTAACTAGCTCAGTACCTACAGTAGTAGTATATGGGAACAGTTATATGAAAACAGTCCAATATTACATTTTTCTTCCATTAAATGCATATTTAAGATTCAACTTTTAAAAGATGGCGACATTAAACAGTCAGCCAGATGTTTTCAGTGTTTTCAAGCCACTTATGGAGCTAATATTAGCTTAATCAGTCATTTCAGACAGAAACATTGACACTTGCCAGCTAGAAATGAAAAGCATACTTTTGTCTGAAATCAATGAGCTTTTATTTATTTAGTATTAAAACTGCCATCGTTATTATTGTGAGCTGCATTATTAGTTGAGCTTGAAAAGGCATAGCAACAGTAACCAAGGGGGGCGGGGCTAAGCTAAGAGTCAGTTCAGCCCTTTTCATGCCTGTTTCATCATGTCAACACCTAACCACAGTCAGGGATAGTTTCCCACATCATACATCTGACAGCCCTAAATGTGAGGATGTAAAAAGTATCATACATCGTTACACCCTCTAATATAACCTCTACAAACCGCTTACCTCACAGCAATGACTGTGTGTGTGCCAGTGTGTAAAAGGAAACTTAAATTCCCTCATAAAAATCTACTTAATCTTAATTTTACTATTACAAGATACTGTTCTCAAACATACGGTACAGAGCCTGGATTTAATACCGCTCCAGTTTCCTCAGAGCAGCCTGCAAAGTTCAGATATTGAATATCAGTTGTAGAGAAGCCTTTATTTTATTGTAATCCACAGGGAGAATGAAACATCTCTCAAACACATGATGTAAGAGCTTAGGAGCTCAACCATCTGCAATTTTAAATGGTTATAAAGTTACATTACAATGTTATTTACAAAGCTAGTGCAGCTGTAAATCTAAATCTGTGGCTACTGGCAGACTAAATAACACACCCTCACACATAAATAGAGTTAAAAACCCATCAGTTTGAAGTTAGCAGGTGCTGAATTATTAATACTCTAGTATTTCTACTGGCCAGACGGAGACACTGTGTGGAAACACTGAATCTCCTTAAAATCATTAGCAACCATTAGTCTTACAGTCAGGCTACTAAACACACAGACAGGAAGAAGAGGAGAAGGAGAGGAGTTTAGAGTTGAAGTGGGTAGAGATCAAGTCCAACTGGAGGAAAAGATTAAAGAGACAGAAAGATAGAAGGCGCAGACAGACAGCATAAGATAGTTCAGAAATCAAAGACGTCAAGAGGCATACCGACAGACACACAGACAGGTTTTCATACCCACAGACAGCTGTGATCTGTCTAACTCTCGAAGGCTACCACACTCTCACTACTCTGACTACAATAGAACCTAGTTCATACTCCTTGTACGCTTCAAATTGTTGTTTTAACCTTATTATTTAGCTGTTGACCGTGAGCTAAAGACACCTGACCCTGCTTAAACGGTAGATTTGGTTGAAGAAGTGACTTTGAAGTGTCTCCTGGGGCTTCATACAGCGATACTCATAAACAGACACACAGGCAGAACAACAGACAAACACCAAACATATTCAGGGCGGCAGGTAGACACAGAGGCAGGCAGGCAGGCAGGCAGGCAGGCAGGCAGGCAGGCAGGCAGGCAGGCAGGCAGGCAGGCAGGCAGGCAGGCAGGCAGGAAATCAGATATAGACAGAAAGAAAGGACAGATTAAGATTAGGACTATCTAATGAGGTAGATATAGTGTACAGGCACACATAAAGAGCGAGAGACATATTGGTTAAGCTAAAATTACACAGACAGATTGAAAGGTAGTTAGAAACAGACAAACCATTCCTATTAGCATAAAGGAAATAAAAAAAAATAAAAAAAACGAGTTAACTGTCCAGACTCCTAATGAAAGAAAAAGAGTGTGTTAAACTCTGAAAGTCAGGCATCCTCGGCTGAAAATAAAACAAAAGTGAAGCGTGAAAACAGAGCCACTGAATGAAAGAGTTGCATCATTGACAGGAACAGAGGCTCAAAGAGTTTCAGGCTGCACAGCAGAGACTGTGGTGCCAAACTGTGCCCTCATTTTACAAACTTTTGGGAGCAGTTTGGCTTGTCATACTGCAGGATAACAGACGACAAAAACTTCTGCTGATGCGCAGATGTGGAAGAGTAACTTGTGCCTATAACTGCACTTTTTTTTTGTTTTATCTATCCAAATATGCCGTATTAGGGAGAACAGATGCTGCAACTCTTTTATGGTGCTTATTAGTGAGCATACTCAGCTCGGTCCCATGTGGAAAAGACTGTGGAAAAGTGTTTTTATTTCCTTCTGAATGTGATGCGGTCATTATCAGTTAATTTCTTTGTTATTTACTGAATCATTCTGTCTATAAAATGCTAGAAAACAAAGAAAAATATTTATTATAATTTCCCAAAGTGATGTAATCAAACTGCTTGTTCAAAGATTCAGTTTAATATTATATAAGGTGAAGAAAAGCAACATATTCTCACATTTCAATCTCAATGGAAGAACCTCTGACCCATCAATGTTTCTGTATCTGCTGCATGCATTTCATTTAGGAGCTCCGCTTTGTGGTCCTGTGGTGGTTAGAGGTTCAATTCCTGAGGTGAAATTGTCCATCAAATTTATTTTTGAAGCAATAAGCTTCAATTCCACATAACTTTTCCACATGGGGCTGGTTACTGTCACAGTGCTGTCATTTCCTGTCCTCCGACAAGCAAAGTGAGTTTTGTCGTGCAACTTTCTAATTGACTGACAGGGCCACCAGCCACTCACGTGCCCAGGTAGTCCCACACCAGCCCCCCCATTGGCTGCTGAGAGGCAGAGGGGGGAGGGGCCTGTTTTCGCGACTGCTGAGAACGCCACAGATGAGAAGCAGAGGGGTTTCTGGGGTGTGATGGGCGCGCGCACACACACGCAAACCAACATAAACGCACTCGCACAGATGCAGAATCATATGAATGCATACATATTTATGCATACATACATGTGAATAAGGTGAAGATGAGTGATGACAGAAGAAATAAAGCCGGAATGGAAGGAGAAACAGGGAAGAAAGAAGGGGGAGGAAGGGGTGAGAAAAAGGGAAAACTAATGGATTAGTACTGCGGGGAAGATTACCACAGAGTCCAACAGTAAGTAGCTTGAAACTGAATGGAAAGTGGAATCCAATCTAAAATTGAATTATGAATTCAACAGGTAAAGACATTCTTGGTTGCTTTCTACTGATTTGGGTTAACAGAAGAAAGAGGAAGATGCAGTAATGTTTTAGAAATTCTGTTTTTTTAAATTCATTTTTGTCTGATATTGACTCTCTTTATCCTGGTCTCTCACCTCTCCAACTCGTGGATCTTTTTCTCCTTGTCGTTCTTTTCATTCTCCATCTCCCTCAGGATCTCCAGGAGTCGTTCCACCTCGGACTGGGCCTTCCCAGCGTCCTCTTTGTGCTGGCCCACTTCCTGCTCCAGGCAGGAGATGCGTTCGGAGAGTTCAGTGCTGGCCTGGGAATCTGCCGCTGCACTCTGAGCCTGGAACAGAAATTAATTATTATAAATAAACTGAGGGTTAGCTTTCAAAATTTAGGTGACCACCATTTGATGGAGCGATACGGTCAAACTAAAAAGGATTTGCCAATAACAACATGTGTGTTGAGGATAGGTTGGATGTGCCTAAACTGTTAAAAAGTTCAATTGGTCTTTTTTATATTTTTACATACCAGACCTTTATTTTAGAGATATTAGAGCACATCAGGTAGATTGTGTAACATGTTTGAAATAGAAATGCTTTAACACAATGGGGCCTCATCAGTTGTGATAAATCCTAATGTCGAGCAGTGGAGCAATACCAGGCCTGGCTAACACAAAATCCAGGATTTTAATGGATTTTGTAGGATACATTAAGTGCTCCTTTATTTGTGTTTAAAACAACTATTAATCCATTTAAAAACTATAATAACACTTGCTTAGCCGTGTTTATTTAAAAAAAATTAAGGGATGAAGGAGTTTTTGTAAACTGTGGGGTCTTCTTACAGCAGGAAACACAACAACTTGTGCATGTGTGGGGGCATGAAAAAATGTGGAAATTGAGTTTATGATTCAGTTCTGCTGCTCTCCTAGTCAAAACTAGTGAACAAGACGATGCGAGCTGGCAGCTCTGTGAGGCACAGTGGTGCTTTGCGCTGAATGCTACGATCGGCAATGCTAATATGCTCACAATGACAACGTTAATATGATATGTTGATGTTTAGCAGACATAATGTTCCCCATGTTCATCGTCTTACATTAGCAGGTAACACCAACGTTTGGTAATTAGCACTAAATGCAAAGCTGATGCTGATGGAAATGTCTTAGTTTTGCAGGTATTTCATTAGAAACTAAAGGACACATTAGTTATCATATAAATGTTGCTGTCATGAATGTGCGTGTTTGTCAATTACAGTGTGTTTTTAATAAGTTTCTCTGATGGTTTGACCTGGTGTCAACACACATAATGCTGATTTATGTAAAGATTAGCATGAGCGTTAAAAAGGTGTTTAAAGCAAAAAGCAAATTAAACTGAGCTGCGGTGCCTTTCTTCTTCCTGCCGCTCCGCTCAGATGCCGAAAACAAGAAAAAGAAACAAACGAAATAAAACAAAGAAGGGGGGAAAAAAACAAAAAAAACAAGTTATAACCAGCTTAGAGGTTAGAACAGCTGTGTGTGTTTCCCAGAAGCAAATGTTGCTCTTGGGACAGATTGACTTTGTGTGTGTGTGCACACGCCTTGGTCACACAATACATAAACCCTATTAGTTTTGGAAGTGCACAACAGTTTTTACAGGTCTTTATGTGGAGAGGAAATGTTTGGGTGTCTGGCGATATTATAAGAAGATCAGGGTGGAGGGAAGAGAGAGAAAGACAAATAAGAAAGGAAAACATCACACACAATGTCAATCAGTTCACACACATATAGACAAGTTTTCAGTCTTTTTTCCATCCGTGGTAACAGAAAGAGACTACGAAATAAACTCTGATGAGAGAAACACCAGAGATCCACTGGCACCTTCACACACACACACACACACACACACACACACACACACACACACACACACACACACACACACACACACACACACATTCAGGGTGTGGTGGTGGTGCTGTCTTCTCCACTCTGTGAAAATGACTGTAAGGCTGTCAGCAAGCCGTCACACACACACCATTTTATGGGCTGCTATGTGGGAGAGAATATGTGATATGCAAACACACACGCACACATGCGCGTGCACACACACACACAAACACACACACACACACACACACACACACACACACACACACACACACACACACACACACACCTCTCTTGGAAAGCAGTTAAGGGAAACAAGTAAGGGGAGAAAGAGGTGAGGGGTTCTTTAGTTTAAAATCCTCCATTTGTGTTCACTTAAGTTTGAACTCTATTTTTTTCCCTACTGAGATTCATATAATTGATGTTTTTTAATTGGTTAATGTTGTCCATCTATCATGACCATCATTACGCTTAAAAATAGTTGCTAGAATCTTTTTAGTTCACCTGTTTTTGTCCAAATGTAGTCTAACATGTATCAAAAGTAACTGACTCTAACCTTCTTGAGTTGGTTCTCTAGTTTGACACACTCCTCTCTCTTCTGTTCCAGGCTGATTTCCAGAGTCTTCAGCCTGTTATCTTTCTTCAGTGTGGAGGAAGCCAGAGAGGAAGCTTTCTCCTTCAAATCCAACACAGAAGTCTGAAACAAAGAGTGATAAGGATGGAAGTCAACAAAACAACTTATTAGTGCAAAACCGTGAGCAGCTCCACTGAAGCGGTTCGGTGTTTAGTGCCTTGTATCTTTACTAACCCACATTAAAGGATGATTCCAGTTTATCAAAACTTGGATCTTATTTTTGTAATTTTGGCAACCTTTTCTAGGAGTTATATTAATATTTTACTTACCAAAGTAACCAAAGTAGTTAACTTTATTATTAAAAACTGAAAGTACGTGAAATGTTGGTAACAATCCCCCATTGCCTGTAAACTGTGATGTCATGTACAACGACATCACTTCACGCCAATCATGACACATCATCAGGTAGAGACCAGCTAAGACTCCCTGACACATTTAGTTTGGATTCATAATGGCAGGCAGCGATGCTGAGCCAAAAGCACAGTGTGTTGAATGTGGTGAAATCCTGTCACAGCTCTCCTTTTGTTGTCAAGTTATGTTTTTTTCTCCCATCTATTTGAGAAAGTGGTATTTTAACAATAAAAAGAGGACCTTAAGTTACAAAAGGTTGAGGGTCTAAAAGACCAGTGTTTAGGATTTAGTGGGTTAATCAACTTGGTGAACACAATGTTGTTATTACCTATAGGAATTATGGCTAATAATGCAAAAATAAAATCCAAGCGGTATAAAGCTTGAATTGTCATTAAGGTCTTCCTATATAGTTGTGAGACTGACTCTTTCCCTTGTTCTTCAAAACCTTTTCCCATGACCTGTCTCTTTTCTGACTCTTCCAGCTCAATCCCTCCATCCGTGAAGTCTCTCTCCCTTTCCTTTCTGGTCTTTTCCTCTTTTGGTAGGGCCGGTGAAACACAAACCAACGGGACCAGAAGGAGAGACACTCAGACGTGTAATTTTACCCTTGACTGACAATACCAACTCCAGACTACGGATCATCATGTTTGAATGGGCTTTGGTCAAAGAAACCTTGCTGCTTATATTTAGGTACATATATATATATATATATATATATATATATATTGCTGTTGTCGGACAAACCCCACATCTGCGTTTAGCAGTGTAGAAAGGAATGCTTGTTTTCTCCGTGAGTTTTCCCATGTATTTCTCAAATTATATAATGGGACAGTAACAGGTTTTATGACCCCCGCAATCACTAAAATTATCTGAAGAGCTGAAGTTAAAAAAAGGGCATAAAGGACTTTTCACTTCAACAACATGTGTGCATTTTAGGGTTCAGTTTTTGAGAAATATGCATTTTCTTTGTCTTGCTGAGTTAAATGAGGAACTCTGTTCCACCCTCATGTTTAAATATTATTATTAACTTAGCATAAAGACTGGAAGCTACGAGGGAAAAGCTAGCATTGCTCTGTGCAAAGGTAAAAAGAAATCTGCCTACCAGCACCTCTAAAGCTCAATAATTCACACTGTCACATCTGGTTTGTTTAATCCATATAAAACTGAAATATAAAAATGTTTGTGGTTATATGGGGGCCTCCTACTGGCTCTTCAGAAGATAAAATGTACCTGAAACCACATTTTCAGTTTTGTGACACCGCAGTCTGTATGTGTATGTATGTTTGTGTGTGATTACAGCTGGGTTTTGAAACGTACACGGCAAGCATTTATTGTAAGTGGAGTAAGGGCTTAGATCTACGTCTGTACCCTATGACCTAAAGTCTATAGAGAGATAAACATAAAATCAAATATAACAATGTTATTTTTTATGCATCAGGGCATATATTTCCTTTCTCATGTTGGCAGTTTCTGATGTGTTTGCCCTTAATTATAGTATAATGAGTAGAAGATAACTGGTTGGTTGGACTTCTGGTTAAATGTTAATAGCTAAACTAAATTTGGTTTACCTAATAACATCAGTTTCTTCTTTGGTAGATTTGGTGCCATTTCTGTTGACATTTTGGTTCTCGTTTGATATCTGGACCCATTTTCATCCATTATTTGTTTCAACTTACTTCTTCTTTTACAGTATGGACTCTAAAAAGAATGATTTCTAAACACTAGCAGATACCATGTTAAACTCCATTGTTTTGTTAAATTTTGGTTGATTGTAACTCTGCTGTCCAGCCGCTGCAGGATGAATACAGACAGTGCTTAAAAATGCTTTGTCATCCTCTGTCTGTCCTTTCCTGTCTCCGCTGTGGTGTTTTGTATGAATCACAAAGCAAGAAGAACACAGCGCCAAATACTGTTTTCATTGGTTGCGAAGCAAATTGTTGTCAAGGAAATGCGACTGTTTATCGGTGTTGTCCTTCAGCGCGAGGACTCTGGGAAGATCCAAGGTCTGTTTTACACTGACAGATCAATCACGCTTCCCTGACAGGGACACAGAGAGAGTGTGTTTTTTCTGACTTATAGCACAGATATGGATGCGCGTGTTTTTCATGTGTGTGTCTTCTACCTCACGGTCAGCCAGGTCAGCCTGCAGCTGGGAGACTTTCTCCCTCAACTCCTTCAGCTCCTTCTTGCTGGACTCCATCTCCTCCCCCTTTTCTCTTTCCTCCCTCTCCCGCTGCTCCTTCAACCGCTCGATGATTCGCTCCTGTGCACCAAGAAAGAGGAGGAGGAGGAGGAGAGGAATGAGGGATAGATGTTAGAAGAGTCACTCAATATCAGGTTTCTATACTAATAACAGTCGCAGTAAACTTTATGTATATGGCAGCTCTGACAGGATCTAACAGCCAGCAGTGATTTTAGACACGTAATATGTTCTGGCACAAGATGTAATATTCACAACCACTAAAACACAACCACTATAGATGCTCTCCAGCTATAGAACAACACAGCCGCCAATTCAAGCAAAAGTAGAAAGGTTCATGTACAAAAAAAAAAGCGTGTATATTAGCTCTGCTGTGTGTGTTTGTGCGTGTTCTTGTACTGCAGTTCTATCTTTTTGAGGCCTGCTTTAGGTTTTAAGCCTTTGAGATGATGATGATTTTTGGAAGTGAGGTTATTGAAAAAAGCTGTTTCAGGGTTAGGACTTGGTTTAGGGTTACGGTTAAAATGAATGGTTATTTTAATTACACTGACGTCTTCAAACTGCTTGTTACATCCATCTGTCCACAACCCAAAGATATTCGATGTACAATCATATAAAATAGAGGAGAGGAGCAATTCCTTCCATTTTAAAGGCTGGGATGTTTATGCTTAAATGATTATCAAAATGATAAATTCAATTGTTTCAGCTCTATTTAGAATAAAGTTTTATATGATTAATATAAGAGCAAGGCCTAGGAATATACTATTCAGTATTCAGACATTCAATAGAGGGTCAGTTAAACTGTATGTAAAACTACAAATAGTGAATAATGAAGTGTAAATAGCATGAAACACAAACATTGTTCTGCATAAAACTTACAAATACAGATTAAAAACACGTATTTCTGTTTTAAAACAGCCAAGTGCAAAAAAAGGTGTGTGTGACAGAGAAATAAGTATTAAAATTAAGAAAGCCAGAGATGGAAAAATAGAAAGTAAGAAAGGGAAAAAGGAAAGATATCCAACGGTTCCAAAACAATGAAAATGGAGGAAAAAAAAGGTTGTGAAAGTCGTTTGAGTGAAGTTTAAGTCGTCGGCCACCTCTGCCTGCCAACACTCACACATCTAACTGACACCCTGAATATTAGTCACTGGCCCATTAATAGCCCTGTTTCCTGTGTGTGTGTGTGTGTGTGTGTGTGTGTGTGTGTGTGTGTGTGTGTGTGTGTGTGTGTGTGTGTGTGTGTGTATGTGTGTGTGTGCATGCGAAGGAGATCAGTTCAGTAACCTAATCGCACTTTACAGTACAAAAATATATTCTCATCAAACACTTTAAAGTGGTCCGCTGGTGTAAGTGTCACTGGTTCGGTTCCCAGAATCAGGGTCAAGTCCTGACTGTTGAATAACAGATCATCAAACGGGCAGTCGAGGGTTCAATTCCCATCCTCGGGACTGTTTAATGGCTCTGGTCCCTGAATGTTTAGACCAAACAGTGACAGTGTGGTTGTTGGTTTTATTCCTATCAGTCTTCTCCATGTGACTGCATGTTGGATGGTTCCTAATCTTTTATGAACACAGGCTGTGAATGATTTAATAATGAAACAGCCAATGTGATTATTGGTTCATTTCCATTTATCCAGAGTCATCTGGTCATTGCGTGGGTGGTCGGCGGTTTTACTCATAGTGGTTTTATTAATGTAACCTTGCTCGGGAGTTGACCTGAGGTTGACCAGCATCAAGTGTGTGTGTGTGTGTACCTTTTCAGCCAGAGCCTCCTCCAGTGTTCCCAGTGCGGTGTCGGTGTTGGAGGTGTCTGTCTGTAAAGACTTGACTCTGTCTTTCAGGCCGCCCAGCTGTTTCTCTTTATCCCTCAGCTGATCCTGGAGATTCTCTATCTACAGAGAGAGAAATGGAAAGAAAAATCTCATAAACAAGAAAAACTCGTAAATGTTTATGATGAAATAATTCACTTATTTACCAAAGTGTATTGGCTCTCAAACACCAGTGCAACTGCTTGTAACTAGAGCTCAGACGATAGTGAATTTTTATAGATGAACAGAAAGTATAACACTTAACTTAGCTGAAAATTAGACTATAAACAACAGCTATAAATATATGTAAATAAGGCTCAAAGATACACAACTACAGCCCTTAACATGAACTGTTCTCCTTTTGTTCTTGCTCTCTTCTTTCGAAACTGCAATATGTTGTTTCTTACAACCTGGCATACTGTATACGCACATATAAATTAATCTTCTTGTAATATCAGCCTGGCCAGTGCTATCTGGCAGGCTTTACTTGTAATAGCAACAACTAATGATAATTTAGATTATTTATTTGATGTTTCTTCATCCAAATGCATCACTTATTTAAACCGAATTAAAAAATGAAGCAAATCTTCTGATAAAATAATCATATTCAAATGTTTTTTCAGCGTCATTCTAGAAGCATTGTAATCATCAAAGGGGCTTTTGATTATTTGATTTGATTGAATTTTCAGGCAAGTCCTCTTTTTTATTACATATACATTGTGTCGGCTTCCCATTAGGACTCCTCTGAATTCATATAACACCTAACAGGGACATCACCATTTTCCCACCCTTTAGTGACAGGAGTGAGTTTCCGTGACAGTCAGTAAACATACACACAAACAGCAAGATGCATTCAAAAATCACTAAGGATGAAACTGAAAGCTGTATTTACATCGTGGTCCTGTGATTCTATCTGTAGATTTTCAACCTATAAAGAAAAACTGAGCGTTGCTGCGCTGTCAAACACAAACTTTCTCCTTAAGCTCTGCTACCTTTAACCCTTACTCCAAACGTACACTCTCTTTACCTCCACCTCTTTCTCTCTGCCTCCTCCTGTTTCCTCTCACAGTGATTTAGTAGCAGATTAATTTTCTGTTAAAACATAAAATCAGCAGAAATAACTGGAGGACTCGCTCTTTCCCTGAGCCCGCAATGAGTGTATGTATCTGTGTGCGCATATATATGTGTGTGTGTGTGTGTGTGAGAGAGAGAGAGAGAGAGAGAGAGAGATCAGAGACAAAGATAAGGAGTTATGTCAACTTTGTGGTATTCATTAAAAAATGGATGGAACAAAAGGTTGAACAGAAATAATGAATTGAGGACAGAAGAGAGAGATGGAAAGCTTATGTAATGTGGTGGTGAGAGTGAACTTGGGCTGTAAAATAACACAATTTCTCTCTCCCTCTTTTTCTGTCTCTCCTTCCTCTGCTTTGCCAGAGAGAAAGGAAATCAAGCGATTGACAACCCGTCACCCCAAAAAAAAGGAGAAAAGTCAGATTGGTATGTAACCTATGACTCCACTGCAGGTGAGACGCACACATTTACAGTACCGTGGAGATGTGTGTGTGTTCATACAGTAAAACATTTCCAGCACCTCATTAATCAACTGTTCACCTGACAGCTTGACTGACACCTCCTCGTCACACACACACACACACACACACACACACACACACATGACATTGAGAGGCAGGGAGACTCTTTGATCCCGTCTGCACTTCCTGAAACTGACAACTGCTGGATGCTCGGAATACACACACATATACAGTATTTACAAACCCACACACACACACACACTCAATGTCTGCCTATTTTAGTCTCAAAATTGTCTGTGATAATTAACTAAACAATAACTGGATGATGCTCCTCTTCATCTTTGTCATTAGGTTTCTCTACATATAACAGAAAATTACATTCAACAACAAAGAGACGGGGATGATGGGACATCAGAAGAATACTGAATTCTATGGACTCGAGGTAATTTCCTTCACTGCTAACATGTAATGACAGGTAAAAACATTAAGAGGGAAAGGCGTCGGAGGAGGAGGAGGAGGAGGAGAATGGGGAGGAGGAGGAGAAAGTGGAAAGATGGTATTCTTAAATTTTCCACATGCAAAAAGAGGAGAAATGAGGAAATGATAAGTGCAGATTAGATAAACGAGGAGTCAGCAGCATTTCTGTCTCCCTCTCAGACACTGGACTGTATTCTATTTGAAGACGGCAGAGGTCATCATTTATTGAACAGGAGGAACTCATTAGTATGCATCTGATTTCAAACACACTCAGTCGCTCTCCTCCCCCTCCCTGTACTGTTTTATGTCTGTCTGCTTGATTGTCTCTATCAATTATCTGCTCACACTCAACATTTTTTTCCCACAAGTGACAACCGAGGGATGGGGAGGGAAAAAAAGGGGACGAGGTTGATTTTTTTTTTTATGGCGAGAGATGCAAAAGGTTGGTAATGGGTGAGTTTGGCTGTATACTGGATTTAATTTCTGTCTAAACAATTGTCTGAACCTGTCCTTACCCTTCATTCTCCCATCCATCTAAAACCAGTGTGTGTGTGTATGTGTCTATGTACAGGGGGTCACTATTACCCATCCATCTAACTGACAGCATTTCCATAGAGACACACACACACAAACACATTGAAAAGTGGCCAAAAATATGCAGAAAGCATCTGTAACTCTGGCTGCCTCTATACCTGCCTGTCTGTTTGTCCTCCTGTCTGCCTGCTCACCTGTCTGTCTGGTTCAGCTCCCACACTACACACTGTCTTACAGCCCCATCTAGTGGCTGTAGTATTACATGACAACATTATATTCTTATTACTTGCAGATTTCATCTGCAGAGCAAATTGCATGTGTCATCCACAACATATTCATCTACAAAATTATATCTCATAATCAGTCGCATCAAAGTCCCAGGAGAAATAACTTAGCTGAACTGAATGAAGATTTCTGAGTTAGTGACACTGTTTCTGTTTAAAAAAAAAGAGGAAGTAGCACTAGGTAGCATGAGCAGCAACAGCCACCATGGCAACAAAAATAGTGCCATCTATGGAAGCTAAAATGTTGCAATCAGAAAATCCAATTTGGATGACATGACAGTAGAGCTCTCAATGTTTAATTGCAATCTGTAGGAAGTGCAGTGCAACAGCAATGACTGCTGTGCTCCAAACATTTTACAGGATCGCAAATATTTCAACTTTGCATTTTGTGTATGTGTTCCATCAGTTTTCTTACCTTCTTCTGCAGTACAATAACTTTGCGTTCCTTGACGTCCAGCATGTCTTTGAGGTCGCTGATCTCTCCATGCTGAGTGCTTTTCTCTTCTGTCAACTCTGATATCTGTTGACTCTTTTTAGAGAGGAGAGATTCCTTTTCCTCTAAACGCAGACGAAGAGCATCCACCTGTGCATACACACACAATTAAAAGCCAGTTGAAATAAATATTCATAAACCAAAGATCCATTTTCTTGTGATAAGTAATGGTACCATTACAAAGAGCAACAAGTACTGGTAGAAGAATAACTGTACCTCAGTCTGTAGTATGGCGGCTCTCTGTTCCTTGGCAGTGAGTGACTCCTTGAGTACGTCCACGTGTTGTTTACTGTCAGAAAACTGATTGTTGAGAGTTTCCAGTTTGGTCCTGAAAGCCAACAGCTCGCTATCCTTACGACTCAGGTCCTGCTTTGCTTGTTCCACCTGAGTAACACACACGGCTTGAAAAGATTAAAATGTATTCAAATCCATTACAAGCTTTATTAAGTGAGCACTCGGTGTAGGCACTACAAGGTGGCCGTCTACAAGGTCTACTGTGTTAGTTTATCGCCAGAAAGCCGTGAGTTTGATCTATAAGTGTAACCTGAACACATTTAAGACTTTTTTCATACAAAGAAAAACTAGTTTTGGTTCTGATTTCTGTCCTGGAAAGCAAACAACAATTAGATATACATCTCAGCAAAGTATGTGCAGTATTAGACACCTATTAACATATATTATACTTCCCAGCTGCTTTTTTGTACTGTACGAGAGGTCAGGGTTGATTCTCTGATATCCCAAAATGATTTGAAAGGAAAAAAGCATGGAAACGGTTTAATCTCCATAAGTGACATAGTTAAAGTCGCTTTAGCACATGGAGGGATCCAGGGCCAGGATCACAGGGGCATTGGTCCCAGTAGAAATGTCAATGTTCCCTAAAGTGCCCCTGTATGATCTTTGACAGCACAAAACATTAATGTGACTAACAACACCACACGAGTTGTATGGTACTTCATGGTATCACTCACGATTCAGCACGTTAGCTAACGTTTGACTGTTCCTCTGTCTGTCTACCGTTTTAATAATATATTCAATTATTATTAGTTAGCTAGGTAACTTCAGCTAACTAGCATTAGCTGACAAAGCTAAATATTAAATATTTCAGCATTTCAGAGTTTAGGATCGGATTATTGGGACCTGTACTTATCCTCCCCAGTAAATGACACTGTTGTCTGGCGCCTACATTTATTTTGTGTTCAGTTTTTAAAAGACAATTACGCCCCAAGTAGATTTGCTGTTAGGTAGGTTTGTGGCTATTTACATGCATAAAAAGTCACCAGAACGCAGGAAGTGAACTGTCTAATATCAATGAGGTGACTGGGAGTGAATGTAACACATAAAAAGAAAGGACCCAAACCACACAGGAAAATCTGTCAGGGCACAGTATAAAAACGTCAGCATACTAATCCAAGCCACTAGTTCATGAGAAACCTCATGCAAGAAGAAAGAGAAGCAGGTTAGAGACACACATACTGTAGCAGAGCAGAGCTGGATTCTCAGCTTGAAGTCTGTAATTGTACAGTTCAGACTGCTAGAAACAACTATTACTGTCAACAGCCACTGATCATAAACAGAGTAGGAGGACCTCCTAACAAAATAGCATACATAAAAATAAAGTGATGATAGCTTGTGACCGAATGACAAAGTGTACTTCAATTAAGTGTATGAATAGATGTTCTCCTCCTCAAAATTAGTGTTTGGTGTCAGCTGCTTAGAGTGCAAAAGCATTTGAGAGTTATAGTTGCTCCCTGTTGTCTGAACACACAGACACGCTACTGAGAATCTACTGGGATTCTACTCAAGCAGCAGCCATTAGCCATTAGTCAACCTGGGAGGCAGAAAGATGAAGAAAGCAACTAAGAAAGAGAGAAAGAGCACAGAGGTGTGTCTCTTACTGCAGACACCTCCCGCTGAAGCTCATTGGCTCGTTGCCTTAGCTCCTCCTTCTCTGATTGGCTGTGCGTTAGCTCTTCCTTTAGCTGCTCAACCTGGCAGGAGAGGAGGGTGTCACCATGACCACAACAAATCAGCCGCCACAGTCGCTGACCACTCTGACCACATGCGGCATATCTAAACACCTCACATGCTGAAATAATACATGAAAACCACCTACTGTACATCCTAAACTGGATATGTCCTACCATCATGCACTGGTATTGGAGTGTGTGTCAGTGTGTAACAGTTTTAATGTCCTCCATTTCAAACTTTATGATAAGGAAGACCATGACATGAAAACACAATACAGTTTAGGTTCTCATAGACAAGGTATATAAATTCTCATATGTACATATGTATATATATGTATACTTAATTTCTTGGTGTCCAGAAACGAAAGGTCATATATATAATAATTCTCACATAAACAACCCTAAAAACTTGAACACATAAAATAAGGGAATCCTTACCCAAACACAAAATTTAGGATATTGTAGTTTTAATCTGAATTCAGTTTTTATAGCTTCCTTATGCACTAATAAACAGGCCAAATATTGTTTCACAGTGGCTTGTCTAATGAAGAAATCTCACTTGAGCCTGGGAGTAGTGATCTTGGTTCATAGTGCCTCTAAATTAACAAATCATATGGGGGTTTGTGGTTGATTCAGGCCTTTGCCTGGTCCTGAACACATTTAAAGACTGTAAATATGCTGATGAAGTCTGTATTTCTAAAACAAGGATGTAAGGCATTTGGAGTATTACTATAAACATCTAAGAATGCATGCTAAAAATTATGAAAAGGTACTGTAAAGTAAGAGGTATACATTTCTTCTTTTCACATGTGACATACAAAAACAAACACTTTCAACTTGCAAGACAGAGAAAAAAATATCTTCTGAATTCCCAAACTGTCTCATTTCCTCACATGACAGAAGTATTGGTTTGTTTTAATGAGCGTGGCTCACACAGTAACCCCCTTTTGTTCTTGAAACTACAGCTGCATGCGTCAAGTGTAAAGACGTTTTTTTTTCCAGCAAAATCCTGCAATCTTTCAAAACACGGAAAGAAAAAATGGTTAGACAAGCACATAAGGTGTGTGTGTGGCACCTTGTTCTTCATGAACTTGGAGTGGGATCTGTAGACCTCCATCTGTTTGATCTCTTCCTCCCTCTCCTCGCTGCTCAGAGCCCCGTTGGACTTGAGCATGTTCACCTCCTCCTCCAGCTCTCTAATGCCGCGCTCCATCGAGCTGATCTTCGCATCCTGGCAGGACATCAACATGTTCATGTTAAGAGGAAAGACCAGTGATTTACCGTACCTGGGCCATAAATATTATCACAAAATGAAATATATTCCTTTGATATTTCTGACAGATGAGCAGAGCTGGAAATTCAGTCAAAGAAAGTCCATATGAAAGGTTATATCAGCTGGACTAAGAAATTGAGACAGAAAAAGGCACTGAGTTACTAATAGAATTTATAGCCTTGATCTTCAGCATTAGCAACAAACTGGGTGGTTTAGAGATGTAGTTTAAATATGAACAATATGAAGTAGCTGACAATGAACAATAACTGTACTGATGTGAACATGTTTGCATTATGCACCCGTCAACAACATTTAGGAGGTCTCCACAAACACCTATTTTCTGTTAATAATTTAAATTTTGCAGGTTTGAAAATCTGTGACAAGCTATGAAGGTACGTCCACCAGAGGGAGCTATTTGAGTTATACTGTTAGCTTTGATAATTGTTTTCGTATCATTAGGAAACTTGTTTGTGATTAGCATCTTATTACATATGATAATAATAAATATAGAAAATATTGTTTAATGAAACAGCAAATATGTTTGCAACATAACGGGGAAAAACATCAGACTGAGGCTGGACATCAAAGGCAGTTCATCTCCACAAACAACTGATGAAGGCAAGAAAATATGCATGATATTTATATTTTCATATTTATTCAGGGTCAAGGAAAGTGAAACAGGAGAAACTGAGGCTTTATGATACAAAAAGCAAACACCAACTGTAAAAAGATGTAAAAAGCTGTAAAAAGCCAACTGTGATATAATTTCCATATTTATGTGTTCAATATGAAGTGCACCATGAAATTAGGTGATTTTCAGTTTCAAGTTTTCAACTGTTTTTGAAAAAATCCTGTAAAATACTGGATGGGATAATTGATATAATATTTGATAAAAGTTATTTGAGGCTGATACCTGATATCAATATTTGAGTGTTTAAAAAACCTTAAGTCAATATATCGGCTGATAGTACACAAAATAATCAACATGTTTACCTTCATTTCAATGACTGTCTGCAAGGCCTTGGTCTTGGTTGATTCTGGAGCTGCTTCGTATCTCCTGTGCAGCTCCTGAGGGACACAGACACCACGATGGTCAGGAGACGACAGAGAGAGAGACACAGAGGGATGGAGTGAGGGATGGTGTGAGGGATGGAGTGAGGGATGGAGTGAGGGATGTTGTGAGGGAAGGAGTGAGGGATGGAGTGAGGGAAGAGGAGGTCGTTGGCCAGAACAGGAGGCGATAGCAACTGATGGAAAGGGATGGAGCGTTGGCTGAATGGAGGGTGTAGGCCGTGGAGCGGGAGCAGGGAAGGACGGCGAGCGCTGGAGGGAAGGATGGACCGAGGAGGCGACGACGAAAGAGGGATAGTGGGGAGGACAGGAGGAGGGGAAGACCACAGGATGGATGGAGTGCCGATGGGAAGGAGGGGAAGGTGCGGGGAAAGAGGGAGAGGAGCACAGTGGGTGATGGCGCGAGGGGGAGAAATGAGGAGAGGGTTGGAAGGGAGGAGACACGTGGAAAGGAGGTGGAATAGGGATGGAGGGAGAAACAGGAAAAGAGGGAGAGATGGGGATGGAGGGGGAGGCGGGAAGGAGTTGTTTTCCTCTTGCGTAGGAGCTGGCTTTTAGCCTCCTTGGGTCGATCCGTCCATCCCACATCTTTCAAACTATGAGGAACGCCACTGTCTGAGCTGACACCGTTTCAGATCAAATCTGACAGCCTGAAATGATTCTAATTTAATTAATTAGCTCCCAGCTTTGAAGCCTTCAGGTTCAAATGAAATCTAAAGTGGTGTAGAATATAAAAAAGTCCAAGTAAAAAAAAAAAAAAAGAAAAGATCCAGTCTTACGGCTTCAAATGCTTGAAACTCTAACTACAGAATGCCAGTTTCAATCTCATACAGCAGCATCATATCACATGATTTATCTTCCTAAAATTCTCATAAAATTATCTAAAGTCAAAATTTTAAATACACTAATCCACGGAGCTACATGCAACGCAAATCCTATCTGTCTGGCTGTTGTTACCACATCACAACTCACTAGTCAAATGAAGATGAGCAAAGATGAGAGCAAAGGGAAGGGAGAGAAAGAAGAAGAGGGAGTGTAGTGGCAGATGTAAAGGCACAAAAAAAGAGACAGAAAGGACGGGCAGAAAGAGTCAGAGAGAGGGAGGGAATGAAAGCAGAGGGGAGGACATAGCAGTGTACGCATCACTGCTTTTCTTTGGAGGCAACACACTTAGAGGCTAACAAAGAAAGCTAATGCATGAGCCAGGAAGCACAAAAACACACATATGTGAAAGGGATGGTGGGGTGCCATGGCTTAAGGCGCTTATATGAATGCTATGAATGCTCATGACCACACAGGCACACACACACATACTCATACACACACTCAGATATTCCCTAAAAAAAGATTTCTTGTTTGGTTATCACTTCCTGGAGATTGTTACAGGTAAGATTAGAACTAATGTAGACATTGTAAAAGTGTGGAGCCAGGGAAAGAAAGGTCACTAATATGACTTACTTCTATGAATCCAGTTTTCTTGTAATAAAATATTTCAGAGCTATATATATATATATATATATATGATGGTCTAATAATTTGAAGTGACTCCATTTTAAAATTAGGTATTCAATAGCTTAGATTCAAATCCTTACAGCTTTTCTTTGCTCCCACACAGACGTCTTTTTACTGCTGAGCCTCAGCTCCAACCCCACTAGGGACATTTTTGAAGATATGAAAATATTGCTCTCTTTTTAGCTTTAGGGAGTTTGCGAGAACTGGCCCGTTAATTGGTGAAATTAACAATGTCCTAAAGAGAAGTGTCAGCAGTGAAGCAGGAAGTCTGCAAGACAAATGCACAATAGACACTTCTACACTATTTACTACTGTAATTTTTAGTTTAACCTATACTGAAACTATCTTTCAGATATTGCGTACTATGATTCCGGTTCTCCTGAGGGGTTTTCTGCTTTGCAATTAACAATGTCTGTTGTCAAATACTGTCAAAAAAAAAAAAAACGAAACTCTGTACAGCACACTGATGCAATGTGAGGCAACACGGGCCATTAAACCCTTTCTGAAAAAACTAAAAACATTTTGCTTCCTGACTTTCTTTCTCAGTCATTTGCTGCCTATGATACATTCAATGATGCATCACTTGCTCTTGTGTGTGTGTGTGTTTATGTGTATTTCACCCTCACAGCTGTGGCTCATGGTGCATTTGGAGCTGGTCATAAAAGGCTGGCTTGAGATCAGTTGTTTTGTATATTTTGCAGTGTAACTGAAACTGTTGTCAGCCTGGTGGCTCTTTGACAGGTTGAAGATGAATATTGTGTCACTGTAAATCTTTCTTGTGAGTAAGGAGCAGGTAAAAATAGTTCCCTCCTGGGACAATAAAGGCTATTTATCTATCATTAATTAATAAATATCTCATTTTGATACATTCTCTGTCTGTTACCCTGTACTTCAGTCAATTTTCAAATTATTTAGGTCTGTTTATTAGTTATATTGAAATGTGAGACATAACTAATTTGTGAGTTACTGCTGGAATGTGTCCAGGAAAGATGTATCACAAAGCATCATAATTATTTATTTAGGTATTCTGTACACTAAAATAAATGTTTTTTTCTACTGAAAAAGCTGAAATGTCCATCTTTGATCTCTTGTTGTTCATTACCAACATGTTACCACTAGAGGGAGCTGTTGTATAAAACAACAAACACGTTGATGAAAGGAGAGTTAAAGTAAGAAAAGAGACAAAGTGAGCAGGAGAGAGAAGACACAATAGGATAAAGTGTGTATTCCCGTGTATTTGTGTGTTGATATTTCTGTTTTGTATTAAAATATGAATTAAGAGCCAAGAGTGAAAGCAGCCAAGGGCCTTTCCTGGAAATCACATGGTTTGATTTGCACACACTCACATCTGGCTGCACACAAAGACACACACCCTCACACATGGGAATGCTTGAATGCACTTTGTTTCTTCTTCACCAGTCACACACACAGACAACACACACACACACACACACACACACACACACACACACACACACACACCTCTCTGAGTTGTAGCATCTCCTTGTCTTTTTGCTCCAGCAGGCCCTCTAGTTGGTGGATGGTCATCTCAGCATCAGCCAGACGCCTCGTGCGTTCATGGTCTTCCTCGGTTGCCCGGGACGACAGGCCTTTACTCTGCAACATTTCCAGTAACTTCTTTATGGATTCATCCCTGTTAGAAAAGAATCGATTTAATAGCCTAAAATGGCAGCAGGAGGTCCCTGAAATCACGTGACTTGAGTCAAGTTCACAATGCTTTTTATCTTTACCTGGCAGTTAGCGTGTGTTTCTGTGTATCTATCCTCAGCTCCATCTCTTCCACAGTCTTCCTCAGGAGGAAGAGCTCTTTGACCTGTCGCTCATACTCGCCATGGAGACGCAGGAAGTTCTCCTCTGTCATATCCTGAGGGGAGATGGACTGATTTCCGAGGAGACCGGACTCTGAGTAATCGGACTGCAAGAGCTGGTTGAGATCCCGCTGGATTCTGAGCTCATCTTGTAAAGCCTGGATGGTGCACTGAAAATGCTGGAGGGAGAGAAAGAAGTTTAATTTAGAGTTATAAATGTAAGAGATTAACAGGAGTTGGACGTTGTGGCGAAGCTGCTGAGAAGATTAATATAGTTAATAGAGTACCAAGTAAGATTTTTACTGTTCCATTGCACAACAGGACTATAAAATATTAGCAGAGGTTGTTAATCTGTGCTATCCACTTAATCTTTATTAAACTCAGATTTTGGGCTTTCCAAACTTATGGTCCACATGAAGGCTAGGTTAGGGGCCAAGCAGTAAAAAAAAAAAAAAAAAACTGCCCAACAACTCAGGCGCCTGATCTCCAAACCAATTCAATGTGTGTCAACTGTGGTAATTTGATGGTAAAAACATACTGTGAAATTGGAAATTGGTCTGCTGCAGTAATGCTGGCTTTGCAAGGGCGCCTTTTTCCACCTCCTTTTTTTTTTTTTTTAGGTGTTATGGCCAAGTCCCACAAAGAAAACAACCCAGGGTGGACCCAGAGCATGCAGGGGAGATTATATCTCCCAGGTGACCTGCGAGCACTTGGGGATCACTGGAAGGAGCTGATGTAAGCTACAGGGCAAAAGGGCATGTGGCTTGCTGTGCTCACACTGTTGTCACTGTAAACTTGATAAGGATAAGCAACTTGAAAAGGAATGGATGGATGGATGGATGGTTGGACAGGGTGGTGGGGTAGCCCATTGTAAAATGGCAAGTGGCAACAATGGCAAGTTAAAACAGACAATGGACCATTGCCTTTTGCAGAGGTTTTTCTCTTCTTCTTGGAGATCTTGGGCTTGGTCTGGAATTATTTGTAGGAATACACAAATCCGAAATGCCGGTATTCAGTTATTAATGCCATGGTAAACCCTGGCCTCTTGTTACCTTCTAAAAATAATCCCAATGCATTCCACAAAGTGAGATATAAATACCAACATTCAATATTTAGAGATACCCTGAGTTATTGATGTGGAACCGTAAAGCACGCAGAGCTATGCAAATAAACATCACTTGACTGAGACTTGATTGAGTTTGATTGATTTGCCCAATCCGTAAAATAGATCACAGCAGATCTTAAACAATGTGTGTGTGAGTGACCAGCAGAGACAACATGCGTATGTCATCTTGAGTGAGTGTGTTGGCAGGTTAGTATCACTACCATCGTAGCTGAGGACAACGTGACATGACTACCCCTGAGTCAGACAAAAGTTTAAACAGCATGTGTGTGTGTGTGTGTGTGTGTGTGTGTGTGTGTGTGTGTGTGTGTGTGTGTTGTTACAGTGATGTCCCCCAGGCTTCTTTAAAATGCGTCACACATACGCTGAACAACAGCCAGGTCATCACCGGCACCGTGAGTCATGAAGTATTTCCAGAGATAAAATAATACAGGTAGCAAAGTGCTGAGAAAGAAAGTGCATGAATGAGAGCAGAAGTAACCAGGAGATTAAAAAAGAAAAAGAGAGAAGACAAAGAAAGTGAAGAGGTTAAAAAAAGGCAGAGATGCTATCGCTCCCTCGCAGCTATCGTTAATCAACACTGACGAGGGAAAGAATAGGATTAAAGGGAAAAGGAAAGAGACGAATGAGCAGGGAGGCAAAGAAAAACAACTCTAAGATATTGAGGAGGAGAAGAGAGAAAGTAGAAGCATCAGACTGTGATCACACATACACTGAATGGTCGCACAAACAGACACACTAAAAAGAACAGGATGACAGATAATTAAATAATATCCAAGTCTTTCATGATAGCTCAGCTTAATGTTGCAGGGCAGGCAGGGCAGTGCATCTCCTGCTTGGCCTTGTCCAGTTCTGTTCATTTTCTATCTCTATTGAGACAAATGTACAGAATATTGCAGCAAAATACAGTTAACATTTTTAAGTTTGATCCTCATCTCTCCTTATTGTATCACTGTGTGTTTGTGTGGGTGAGTGGGTTGGTCTGCTGACTCATACAATAGCTCCTCTCACACACACGCACACGTGCACACACACACGCACACATACATACACACACACACACACACACACACACACACAGTACACACGTACACACGTGTTGATGACTGACTCTGACATTGATAGGACTTCCCTGAAGAAGAAGCATCCTTCTCCTCTCTTTAATATTGCCTCTGTGGTTTATCTCTCTGTTTCCATTCCAACTATGATTCCTCCCTCAGACACGCAAACACTGACCCACCCAAACGATGAAAATGTGCAAGAGTTTGCACAAAATCTCAATTGTTTTTTAAAAGGGCTTAACACGAAGTTGATCTTATTCTGAATCGACAGAATATTAACTGAAAACAGTTTTAAAGTATTTTTTTATTATTTGTCTTAAGCACTTTATCAAAAGAAATATGTATGGATTCTGCTGTACCCAGTGTGAGAATCTGCAGCTTTTCTTTATCTTATCTCATTGTAAAAATAATGTTTTGGGGGGTTTTGACTGTTGCTAAGACAAACTAAGCAACTGAAAGACATCCACTTGGCCTCTAGAAACTTGGAATTGGCTTTTGTCCTCATTTCTGACACTTTAATAAATATAAATTACCAGAGGATCTAAGATGTGCCCCAAATAACAAATTCAAAAACCTGTTATTTCTGCTGCCTTCTAATGTTTATAGCTTTAATTTACTTATGTCTAAATTTTTATACATGTTCACACTTTCTTTTATTCAGTCGTTTAAAGTTTGTTTCCATTTCCTTTGGAAGTTTAAAACTGTAAAGCACCACACGCATGGATTTTAACTACATAAATAAGTTTGCCTTTATCTTTTGCCTTTAAGCTATGAATTGATTAACTGTAAAAATCAATGAAATCAATAGTGGAATTAATAATTGGTTGCAGCCATAGCTATTAATATAAACAGTATGTACACAGAAAAAAGGTAGCTGCACAGTATATGTGCCGAAAGGACAGACAGACAGACAGACAGACAGACACACACACACACATATTCATGCTCATTACAGTAATATGTATAGGATATAATATATTTCATGTGATATGTAGGTATTAAAGAAATGCACATGCATGCCATTTCCTGCACCATTCATTATATACTGTAATAATCAGTCAGGAAAACACACATATACACACACACACATCAAGCATCCCAAAGTATGTCAGAGTTGCAGAAATGAATGTGCAAACACACGAACACAAAGCCGACACAGAAACGCAAATCAGTGCGTTTCTGTATGAAGTCAAGCAAATACAGTATAAACACACACACAACATCAAAAGGTTACATATAGAGAATTCAGAATCACACACACACACACACACACACACACACACACACACACACACACAAGGGCATGTGCCAGTAACTCCCCCCCTCACCCCACACACAGCTGGAATGTAGAGCGGAGAAATGCCAGACCACAAGAGAGAGAGGGAAAAAAGGGAGTGAAATATAAAAAGGAAGCAAGCAAAAGGAAACAAAAACAGAGAGGGAGATAAGGAGAAGGGAGCAGTTAGAGAAAACAGTGCGTTAACTGTGTCCAGCAGAAATGGAACAAGGGATGAAAGAGAGGAGAGAAAGAGAGAGATAGAGAGAAGGAGAGAGACTCAGAATACAAGTTTTGTTTTTCTTCTCAGTTTCTGCTGAGTCGTGTTTGGCTCCTTCACCTTTGACCCTGTCAAACACTACAGTGCACATGGGACCGAGAGGGTCAGCCACCACTCAAAAACAGAGACAGGACTGCAAACACATGTGCCTCCAGAAACATGCACACATGTACCGTACACATTCACATGTTGAGACCACACTGTGAGTCAGACTACACAACAACACTGTACAACAACATGTAAAACCAAACAGGTCCTTTCCCATTTTATTCCCTAACTACTGATCACTATGTTTACTTTACATGGCAGTTTTCAGTTTATTTTCACATTCAAATGATAAACTAGCATGAAAGAGAGAGACAAATTTAAACTGTGTACAAATGTGACAAACACACAAACAAGCAGACAAATCAAGATGACGAATCTCTCCATCAGATGTCTAAGGGAGGGAGGAATAAATTCATCAAGCTGATGTAAACAAGTGCAAGATGGGAGATTGTCTTGATCGCAGTGATGTTCAACAAATCAAAACTTTGTGAGTTCGATTGAAAAGTTCTCTTACTGTCTTCGTAGGAACATTTGGAAACCTTGTGGCATACCGGCTATGTACATGGTGGAATGCATTTACATATACACACTGAAGCACAGTGGACTGAAAGGACATGTGTACTGTATGAGCACAAGACGGTCCATCAGCTCCTCAGATTTCATGTTGACTGTAAACACTATCTGTAGAAAACACCACCACTGTGTTTACATGCAGATGAGCAACCAAGGTTACTCAAAAAGCAGAGATTACTCCTTAAAAAAGGGCAACGACATTGCTTAAGCAAACCTGCAGGAAGACATCAATTTAATGCTTCCGCACCCTGCTGTCAATAGAAAAAATTACTGTTTGTTGAACAGACTGCAGACGTTTTGTTCTCTTAAGCAATCTATCACTTGCAAATTACAACGTTAGCGGCCACTCTGGTTGTGAAATCAATAAATGCAAATACAAGATGTGACGAGCTCCTCCAACAAGCTGCTAATAAGAGGCTTCATCAGCCTCCATCTGTATGTTGGTCTGTGTTTTCAGTTTAGCCGATATCAGAAGCAAAAGTAGCCAGAGGCATAAAATGATCCATACAACAATAACACGCCACCATCAACTGTGCAGCCTTCTCTTTTTTACACCACTAGAACTTTTAAACAACACGCTTCTGGGACGCTTCATGACCACAAGGCTCGTGGTAGAACCTATAATAGGTTGGAGGGGATCATTGCATCACAGTACAGCCTAAAGCAAAGTTTCACGACTCAACTGAGATCCAGTTTTCAGTCGCACAGAGGTTGCAAATGTAGGACTCAACTTGACCTGATCATGACTTTTCTACACCGAGTATACCCCCAAATTCACCTGACTAGAAGGATTAAAAATGGCTTCAACAAAAGAGGGT